TAAACTGATAGATCAGCAGCCTGGCAGATTTACTGAAGGGGTTCATCAATAAATATTTGTGGATCATTTGCCATGTATGAGTCAATCCCTGTTGGGCTCTAGCTGAAATACATGTATGTTGGATATGGATGATTAGATATGCAATAACAGAAACACCATTGCTGAAGACATTAATCACTCCTCTATGAAGGCATTAATCATTCTCTGTGGGCACCAGGAAATGGCTCATGGAGGAGATGGTGTTTGAATTAAACCTTGAAGAATGGGTGAAGGCATATGCACATGAGCTCAGATTGGGATGGAAAACACATTCAAGGCAGAGGAAGAAGAGGACAAATAAAGCTTTGCACTTCACTCTCAGCAAAACTCAACTCTTTCACGTCTCCATATTTTTCATAAGGTGTTCTGCCTGTCCTCTTTTCTCTGTATAAGTCCTATCATTTTTTAAGAGCAGCTGGACACCTAGAGCAGCTGGATGCCTCTAGGACTATTGCTGAGGCACCAGCTCTGTCTCCCAGTATTTCCCCCAGCTCTCCTCCCTCATGACATTAACACATAATAGCCCCAATCCTGCTGTGAGCTCTTTGAGGGTAAGGATGTCCTATATATTCATTCATGACCTTGTTTCCAATGTCTTCCACGTGTCCTGCCTCTTAATGAGTCTTAATAAATATATTTTTAACTGAACCAAAAAGATGAAGCAATCTTTTTAAAAGAATAAATCAGATTATGTTATTCTCTAACTGAAAATTTTCAAATGGCTTTTTACTTACTTATAATAAAATCCAGACTCCTTACTGGCAGTGATTTGGCCCCTGGATATTTTTCTAACTTTAAATCACGATATTTTTCTAACGCTTTTTCACTCTGTGCATACAAATCTTAAAAGGATCCACAGGTAAATAAACTGCCTGCCAAAACAAAAAACTTAACACTTCTATTCAGGGAGATGATGAAATATAATCACACCACAACATCCAGCATACAATCAAAACTTTCCAGGTTTGTGGAAAAACATGAAAACGTGACCCAAATTCAAGAGAGAAATCAGTCAATAGAAACAGATACAGAAATGAAAAGGGTGATGGAATTATTAGCAAGGGATTTAAAATAGCTATTAGAGGTGATAAAATAACATGCTTTAAAAAAAAAGTCTGTACTCTTAAAGGATGCAGGGAAGGAGGGGAGAAGGAAAAAAGAACTCATGGCCCAAATAGAAAACAAACAGCAGTATGGTGAACTAAAACCCAACTAAATGTAAGTAGGTTAAGCTCTCCAATTAAGGGGCAGAGGCTGTCTGATTGAATAAAGGTAAAACAGAAAATAAACAGAAGTGTCTGATTCACCAGGTTTGATAAGTAACAGGAGATAAAGACTGTTTGAATGGAGCCAAATCATGTTGGATCGTAAATGTCAAATCCTATACTTACTATAGACACTTGTGTTTTCTCTGGGCAAATAGTTAGCTCACCCTGTGAGATGGAATGGCCTTCTGGAAGAACAGGTATAAAGCTGACTTACTTTTCAGAATGTTTTATTTGATAAAGAACATACGTCTTCATCCCATCTCCTGATTTTTACTTTCCTGGAGAGGAAACAGAGTGGCCATGGTCATACCTTTCAGCCCGCAACACATAAATAAGCCAGGTGATGAACAAAACCACCTTTCAGCTGCACACTATGGTCTTTCCTTTAAAAGTGAAAATGTACTTGGAATCTGAAGAAAGTACTAAATCTAATTTCTCCTTTTCATTAAATCAATAAAAAAAAATTAAAGACAACATTACTCAAAACTGTGGCTCTTGGAAGATTGTCATTTTTTATTATTGTTGTTATTATTATTGTTATTGTTATTTCATTTTTTCAGTGGCCTCCGAGTATGAAGGTTCCTAGAGTTAAAGGCATGGCCAGATATAGGAAAGATATTGCTGTTGCCTGAGTTCCATGAAGCTGATATCAATCTATTTCATAAACTTCAGGCTGGTTATTGCTTCAAACACGGGCTTTGGTGCATTAAATGTGGCACCGACAGGAATACAAATAAGAGATTTCCCAATGATACTGAGCAGGGGGCCTGGGGAAGGACTGAATTTCCTCCACACCTAAGAAGGAAATTCAGGAAAGGTCACAAGGCTGATTCAATGAATGACTCCGAGGCACAGTTTTTGTTGCTGTTTTTCCTCAGTAAGAGAAGAAAGGATAAAGGATTTTATCTGAGCTCAGAAGGTCAGACTTGGGGAGGTTGAAAGGGCCTAGACTTCAGAGTCAGGAGATGTGAAGCTTACCCCAAATTTAGCCCAAAATTAGCCCACGTCTCTGGGCCATAGTGAGATCTGTATAGCAGTTCATCTTCAAAAAGTCCTTTCTGACCTGAAATGTTAAGGACCTACGTGGGGCAATCATTAATATTTGGAAAATACTTTCCAAAACACCAGTTTTCTTGAGGCTAATGACAACCTTGGAAGGAAGGAAGGGGATAGTAGAGTAAGCTGAGGTTTAATTAAGCTGAAGGACATACCATATTAGCTAATGAGTTGCTAGATCTGGTCGCAGGTCGCATGTCTTTTGGCTTCTAATCATCCCTCACTGCCCTTCAACAAAGAGAATACAAAACCTATTTAAAAGGAACATTCACACCCGGCCTATGTGGCAAGAAAACTTTCCTTAAAAAAAAAAAAAAAAGTCCTTCATCTCCAGAATTTTTCACTCTGAAACATGGTGTTCTCCAGACATGCTTGAGATGATATAAACATATCGAGTCCTGCACATTCTGCCCTGTGGCTGACCTATTTCTGAGCAGGTGGCACTCTTCCTGCCGGTCCCGACATGGGAGAGCCACCACAAGAAGGGCTACGGCTAAGTGCATGTTTGCTAAATGAAAGAAAAAATCTCAGCTGAATTCCCCAGAGCTTATGACAACCCCCCATGACCACTTTGATGTCCCCCAGAAAGTGCTGACTGTATCCAGGAGTCTGTAATCCTGGGAACCACAGGCACCTGGCAGTAGATGTGAGCAGAAGTGTGACCTGCCAAGAGCCTTTCTTTGTTGGAGGCTGAGAAACTGTCTCATAACTTCTATATGCCATTCATTTCCTCTTTAAATCGTGTCGCCCCTGCAACTCTCCTCTCACCAGCGATTCCATAACCATCCTCTTCAGGGCTCTTGCTTTCCTTTCTCACACTGTATAAGTCACTAGAATCAGTTCATTGGGTGCTCAATCAATATTTGCTGAATAAACAGAAAATTATTTCTGAGGCTTTTTTTGTGCTAGGTGCTAGTGGTGACATTGTGCTAGAGATGACATTGCACTAGAGATGACACTGTGAGAACAAATATGGCCTCTTACACCCATAGAGTTCACTGTCTAGTGGAAAACAGATCACCAGGCGATCATGACAAAATAGAGATTGGCTTATAGATGTGATAAATACCATGCAAAAGCAGCATGACACCTTCTAGGGAGACGAAGAAATCACCAGTGTCTCATCTAAATTAGTGAATTGCATGGTATGTGAATTATATCTCTATGAAACTACGATTTCAAAAAGACAAGTGTCTCACATATTAGAACTGTGAGCAAGTGTGAATCAAAGGCATTCAATAATTGATCTTTGGCGGGTCAAAATATATTGTTATTGTGAGGCCACATGACAAACATAACCTGAGAACTAACCGTGTTCTCTGCTTCCTCCCACAGAGCAAGCTGGAATTAATGATCCTTGAGAGAAAAGAAGGAAGGGGTGGTGAAAGGCTGTCAAGGTTGTCTTTTGGCGTTCACCCTATCAAAAGCAATAAAATTTCCTCTGCTGCCACCTGGTTCTGAACAGTAAATACATTTTCTGCTCTGGTATCCGGGGAAAGTAACAGACATTGCCAACCATGCTTTGGTGAATGACCAAGCCAAAGCCATCCAAATCAAAGTAGCAGTTTAGGATTGAATGAGACTAGTTTAAAAAAAGAATATAGCCATACAGTGAAATAGTCTACAGTTATGAAAAAGAACTAGATCTCTATGTACAAATATGGAAAAAATAACCTGGCTATATTGCCAAGTTAAAAAAGCAAATTGCCTATATACAGAATGACCCACTTTTTGTGCAAGGGATATGTGTGTATCTATATTCTTTTATACATAGGCACACTCTGTATGTTGCTGAATACTGAATATAAAGAAACTGGCAAAAATATATAGCATATGTTATTAAATATAACACATACATATTTATATATTAACTACATAGCATCTATATTAACTATATGTAATTTATAATTAGTGGCTCTATGGGTCCATCTTAAGTTGGGCCCTAAAGAAGCCCAGCCTAAAACAAGGGTGTGCATGTACATAGACTATTGGGGGATGGCCTCAGGAAGCAATGGCAGGAAAAAAGGAAGTGGACAAAGAAAGAAAATAAAGGGTGTATTTATTAAGCAAGTCATCACAGTGGGCAACTAGGGCTCTGCCCCACGGAAAAACCGCAGGAGGCAATATGGCCCACTTCTCAGACATCCCCGCCAGAGTGTGGAAGTCAGTGTCCCATCCCAGCCATGATGGTCTGAGGTCACAGGGACATCAGCTCTGCCAGCCCTTCCAGCTCGTCCCCCACCCTGTGTGCAAATCAAGAGAAGCCCGTTGTCTACAAGTAATAAGATCTTGTGGTGCTATAGGTGAGGCTAGGCCCCGAGGCTAGGGTCCAAGGTTAGGCTTCCAGGCTCCAAGGTTAGGCTAGGCTCCAAGACTCCAATGCTTTCAAACTTTTTTTTTTTGCATATTAATGACATTTTAAAATCAGAAAAACTGATAAAAACACTCACCAAAATATTAATATCTATTAAGAGGCTTACCACTAAGCCAGACAATGTGCAGGGAGCCCAGTTCCTCACCCCAAAGACGGCCTTCGGCCTAGACAATGTCTGTTCCAGAGGCCACCGGTCCCGGACACATGCTTGCCGGACACGCAGGGCGGCCGGAGCCGCGAAGAAAGAGACAGCTGAGACAGAGCACCGTCGGGCTTTTTATTCACGGGTCATAAATAGCATCTCGTGAGCATCAGGGTGATCATGGTAATGGGCTAGCACCTGGAACTTGGCCGTCACAGAGCACTCTGCTTCCCCACCGCCGGCTGAGAACTCGCTGCAGCTGCCCCGCGGCTCAGCTTTGAGGGGGCCCGGCCTCGGGTGCAGCAAGTTTATTCGTGGCTCGTTCTTGCCAATTTTTTTTTTTAAAAATCATAAAAGATCAAGTGTTTGCAAGAAAATATCAAAGAGGATAAGAAGATTTTCCGTTCTTCTCGAGTGTCTAAAAGTAAAAAGGAGAGGTAAGAAAGGAGGAGAGGAAAGGGGGGAGATGGCAGGGGCTGCCCAGTGTCTCCGTTTCCCAGAGTGTTTTCGGAAACGGGCGCGGGGCAGGCGTTAGTGCTGCTTGGAGACGGGCTGTGTCTCTCTGAGGAGCCACTCGAGCGCTTCCTGGCGGCCCTGCTTCTGCAGCTCCTTCCCGATCACGTCCCTGCAGGTCTGGTGGTAGTTGTTGAGCCACTCACACTGGAGAGAGAGAAAGACAAACAGACGCAGTGTCTGTGAGGGGCCCACGTACTGAGCGCCCCAGATGAGAATCAAACTCTCCCCCTGCTCACAGGGGGACAGGTGACCCCCTGTGCTCTATTTCTCTGGACACAGATGGGACGAGGCCATATCGCTTACGGTGAAAATGCTCCCGGAAAGTCTACTCCATGTGACCCGGCAGTGGTTAGGGGGAACCACAAACACCTAATGGCAAGCAGTGCCTTCAGGCCTCCCTCAGGGCAGAGTAATCTGCAAACAGGACCCTGGGAACCAAACTCACAGGCCATGAGAAGAGGGAGGAGGCTGCACTCACCCCAAGGGGCCTTATTCCCCACACCGGAGTTATCTGAGGGTGCTGAGGAGAGAGAGGACCTGGAAAATAGCTCCTGGGCTGCTATGAAGATGCCTACTAAGAGACATACGTGGGGCTGGCCTGCCCACACCCTCACTTCCTATCCTGAATCCACTGACAAAGCTGAATCAACTAGAATGTGGGTCCTGTAAGTGTGGCCCAGGACTGTGGGATTGCAGGGTGGGGCAGGGAGTGACCTTGACTGCCAGACTCTCCTGTGGCCGTCAGGAAATAAGAGATTTTAAAAAAAAAAGAGGAGGAGGAGGAGGAGGAGGAGGAGGAGGAGGGGGAGGAACAACAGGAGGAACAGAAGGAGGAGGAGGAAGAGGAGGAGGAGGAGGAGGACAGGACTTGGTGCCTGGTGAGGCTGATCACTGGGTCTGACAGTGAAAGTTCGGCAGCTGTAAAAGGGTGGGATGGCCCCCTTGTGTGGGTGGGATTTAGGAGATGAGGACAACAACCCACTCCCTTCACTGCCCATGAAGTGGGCCTGCCTGGACACCCAGTTGCAGCGAGGCTGGCAAACTTGCACCACCACGGGCATGGGCCAAGAGCTGCTGGGCAGGCAGTGTTGTTACAAACTCATGGGCTTTGAAGTCTGCAGTGTGAACCAGTTACCGAAGCCTGGCTAAGGGGTCAAGATGGGCACACAAGTCTTCAAGGCCCAAGGGTAGACAGATGGGGTGATGCTGCCAGCTGGCCTGGGCCCATTGAGGGCTCTGATCCCCACTGATAAAGAGCCTGCGGGCCCTGCTGGGAGTTGGGGAAGGAGGTAGAGTCAAAAGAAAGTGAGTGCTGTGTTTGTTCAACAGTTCAACAGTGCAGGCCACAGCGGGAGCCAGCCAAGGACCGCAGGTGGGATGGGGAAGGAGGAGGAAGGCACCTGAGCAACCTCCCAAAGGCCCTGACAGTCTGCGATGCCCATGTTCACATCCAACCAAAGTCCTCTGCTGCCATCTGGTGACAATTGGTGGGAATGCTGACCCGACCCCCACATTCCGCAAAGTGACAAGGAAGACCATCTGTCGGGGAGGGAGTGAAAGGCCACAGCCAGGTGTTTTGATCGCCCAGTGAGCAAAATCTTGTTGTGGAGTTTTACTGTGTCTTCGAATTATACCTTGAACACCTAGATCACTGAACTATTCTTTTGTCCAATTAATTTTTATAGGATATCGTCTTACCTTAGGATCACAAGCATTTCCCACAAATAACTGTGGACAGCAGTATTTAACATATCAAGCAGAGCACCTTATCTCTTTTAGCAAAAGGGTCCCTTTCCCATTTACCTCTTTTTTTTTTTTTTAATATATTTTATTGATTTTGTACAGAGAGGAAGGGAGAGAGATAGAGAGCTAGAAACATCGATGAGAGAGAGTCATCGATCAGTTGCCTCTTGCACACCCCCCACTGGGGACATGCCCGCAACCAAGGCACATGCCCTTGACCGGAATCGAACCCGGGTCCCCTCAGTCCCCAAGCCGACGCTCTATCCACTGAGCCAAACCGGTCCCGGCCCATTTACCTCTTGATAAATCTGGGGCTTCCGACATAACAGTGACTTATTTCTGGAGGGTCCCTAGCTACGACGCCGGAAGCTGTGCCTAAGGGCCACCACAAGAGACTGGTGCCAATGGGGCAGAAACCTCTAGGCAGGGTGGCTCCTGTGCCCTCTGAGTTCTCATTCCCTTTCACCTAACTGAGGTCAGTGGTCGGCAAACTCAGTCAACAAAGCCAAATATCAACAGTACAACAATTGAAATTTCTTTTGAGAGCCAAATTTTTTTAAATTAAACTTCTTCTAATGCCACTTCTTCAAAATAGACTCACCCAGGCCATGGTATTTTGTGGAAGAGCCACACTCAAGGGGTCAAAGAGCCGCATGTGGCTCGTGAGCCACGGTTTGCTGACCACTGACATAAGTCATCCCCACGGGGGCTGGAGAAAAGCCCTAGAGACCATGGCAGGCCTCCGGCTGAAGAGACCCACCTGGCCCTGGGCTGCTCCCAGGTGCTTTCAGTTCTGCATCGTCTACAAGCTGAATAGCCTGCATCAGCGGGGCCCGCTTAGGTCCTGGGAGTGGGAATGTTTGGTTGGACCAAGGCACCAATGGTCAAGCACAGGTGCCCACGCATAGAAGAAAGCTAAGCAGAAGTGGGTGACCTTCCTCTGTCACCCATCTGTGAGCCAAACAAGGCAGGAAAGGCATCTAGCTGGGAGGATCCCTGCCACAGGCCCACAGAGAACGCGTTCCTGCCTCCAGAGATACTCAAGGCCAGTGGCTGCCTTGGTCACAAAAATGTCTTCTCTCTCCAGGAGCCGCAATGCCTGTCCTGCCTTGGGCTCCCGTCAGTCACTTGCTTTGTGACGGCACTTCTGACCACCTGCCTCGTTCTAGAATTTGTGCCCTGGCTTGTCTTCCTGATCTGGGAACTGTTTTGTTGGTTGCTCCTGCCCTGTTTTTCACCCTTGTCTCTGCTCTGACCTTGATCACCTGCCTGACCCTCTGCCTTACTCCAGGGTCCTTGGTCTGCCACTTCCTTGGCATCATGAGCCTGAGAGCCACCCTAAGATTTGAAGGGGCTTCAAGACCTGCAACCCTGTGAGCTCGATAGGTGACACCCTGGGCTCCTGCTCTGCAAAGAGTGCCACAGCCCGGAGGGGCCCGGAGAGCAGGCACCACCTCTGTGTGTGAAACTCAGGCCGATGGTAACAGAGTTGCATCTCATTTCCTTAATGCTTCACGCAGCACAAGGAAACAACCTACTGTGCGCAACAGCCACAGCCCCCACCACCGTCTGGCTTTTTGTAGGGAAGACACGTGGTTCACGTTTGCTCAGGCAGCCGTGGCTCCTGCCCTCCTGGAAAATAACGGCACAAAGCAGGCTTTCACCTGCGAGCATACAGCCCCCAATGGGGTCGGGAGGACTATCTCCATGCAGAGGCCCAGCAACTACAAGAAAAGCATCTCATGCTCAGGACTCAGCTGGCCCAGACCTCGGACTTCAACAGTGAGGATGCAGAAAAGAGTATGAGGTAGCTCTCCCCCGCCCCCACGCTGCCTCCCCAGGACTCCCTCGTTACCTCTTTGTCTGTAAGAGAATCCACATCTATCATCTTGGTCTGTATCGGAACCAAAGTTAGAGGTTCAAAGGTCAGGCTTCCCCGGTTGCTGAAGTTATACTGTGGGGTAAGGAAGGAAACAGAAGTTTTGACTCCTCTTTACCACCAGGTGCAACCGTGAGGTCAGCCCCACCAGCGTGGCCAGCCCTCTGAGCCAGGCATGGCAGGCCCGATGGACACAGCTGAGGCCACCGAGACCTCCCAGCAGCAGGGCCACAGACCACTGTCCTCTGTGATGACAGGGAGTGCGGCCAAGAGAGTGGGGGCGTCTGGGATCAGGGGCTTCTCTGGTTTCGGTTCTCAAGACTCTGCTGGGGTATAATTCCCCAAATCATTTGTTAAATGGTCAAACATGTGGCCAGGCTTGGCCCAGCCAGGCCCGAGAGAACAGGTGTGCCCACTCTGAGCGATATGGAACAGCCAGGGCACACGAGCACACTGGTCTCTGTCCCGGGAAGGGTTTGGGAGGGAAGCAAGCAGCCACTTTCATGGGCAGGGACTTCCAAGTGGAAGCCGAGAGCAGGCCCCTGCAGTCAGCCTCACGGGAGGCATGGAAGCCACTCCCCTCCACCCGTTCAATCCCCAGTCACCAATGGAGGAGGAGCAAACAGGTCTCCTAAATAAAGCTCCCGTGACCTCTTGGTGATGCTGATGGGGAGAAGGTGAACCACACCTGCCCCACGGGCTGCCCCTGGCCCTACCCATGTGCCTCGGCTTTACCAGAGAAAAATCCCCCGGGGCTTTAGTGAAAAATACTCTCCAGGCTTAGAAACTAATTCAGGGTCTGGAGGTACCTTTAAACAAGCATTGGCCCAGCAGAGGAGACGCTGCCTTTAGTAAACTTACAGCCACAGATCACACCACGCAGGGGCCTGCCTGAGGCTCCACCAATCCCATTCCCAGGTCCCCGTTCATTAAGGATTTTCCTTCCGGCTTTGCAGAGGGTGAGTCCCAGGAAAGTCCCAGATATGAGGGAAAAGAAGCCCCAAGCATAAAAGTCTCCGTCCGCCCCATTTAAAGGAATAAGGAAAATTTAAAAGTAAATATATCAATTACTCACCTTGGTCTTCACAGGAACCACCAGGACCACATTCTCAATGCGAATTCCAAAGGCCCCGTCTTCATAGTACCCTGGCTCTGAAGCAAACCAAAGCCCAAGTAAGCAGCAGTCCAGGAGGGAGAGGCCCCCAGAGGCCTGCCCACCCCAAACAGGGGCAAAGAGGTGAAGGGCCCACTCAGCCCGACGTGAGAGCCCAGAGAAGCCCCTTCTCCCATGTGGCTCCTTCTAATAAGTACCTGAGGTACGAAAGGTTTTGAGGTTTCTGAAAACTGGCTGCAGGGGAGGAAGGACAGTAACCGGGAGCCACCAACTAAATCCCAATGCATATGCAAGAGGCATAATGATGCAGGCATTCAAATACATTCACTAGAACTTGGTGATGATATAGCAATAGGCAATAAATTAAGAAAGCAGAGCCCAGCCTGCATGGCTCAGTGATTAAGCATCGACCTATGAACCAGGAGGTAATAGTTTGATTCCTGGTCAGGGCCCAATCCCCATGTGGGGCGTGCAGGAGGCAGCCAATGGATGATTCATTGATTGATGTATGTCTGTCTGTCTGTCTCTCTCTCTTCCTTCCTCTATGAAATCAATAAAAATATATTGAAAAAATATATGTATATATACAAAAGACCAAAAGCTAACATGTTGAAATATTAAGTCCTTTTTCCCTTGGGTGGTGAGCTTACAAATGAATTCTTTTTCTTCAGACTGTTCCAACGTCTCACTTTTTCTACAGTGAACATGTATCACTTTTATACTAATCGTAAAAGGTGTTTAATTCAAGATGACAAGGGGAAATTGTTTCCAGTTTAGTTTAAAATAATTAAAATATAAGAAACAACAAAGAGCCTTCAGGAGACTGGAGGACCCATGCTCGCATCCTAGGTGAGGGCCGCCTACCGTCAGTGACGATCATGCCCGCCTCCAGCGGCTCGTCGGAAAACGTTTTGTAACTGATGCCGCAGGGGCCCTCATGAACGTTCAGGAAAGACCCAACACCATGTCCTGTCCCGTGCAGGTAATCCAAGCCCGAATCCCACAACGCTGAGCGGGCAAAGGAGTCGAGGAGGTGGCCTGAAAGACACACGAAGAACCACTTGATGTCTGCATGGCACTTTTCAAGTCGCAACACGTTCTGGCGAACAGGCTTGTTATGTTTGGCTCCAGAAGGTGAGATAGAAACCAGGGGTAAAAGTTACCAGAGGGTTCAGATTTCAGCCCAGCACAGGGAAGAACTAACGATCAGAGCCCCTGAGGAGGGCAGCTCCCAGCAGGCAGCGCAGTCTGAAGCTGGAGGATCTGCCCGGGATACTGGTTAGGGGATGGCATCCCCCAACAGGTGAGGGGGTGGCAGCCCGCAGCTGGTGAGGACGGCACTTGAGCCTGGCTGGTGTGGCTCAGTGGCTGAACATCAACCTATGAACCAGGAGGTCACAGTTCGATTCCCAGTCATGGCACATGCCCAGGTTGCAGGCTCAATTCCCTGTGGGGATGTGCAAGAGGCAGCTGATTGATGATTCTCTCTCATCACTGATGTTTCTCTCCCTCTTTCTCTCTCTCTCTCCCTTCCTCTCTGAAATCAATAAAAAATATTTTTTTAAAAGAAAAAAAAAAAGAACTGCACTAGGTAACAGTGGACATTCCCTGCCCAGCTCTGGGACCCTGAGGTTTTAGATTTACAAAGATGAGATTATAGCCAGACTCAAGCAAACAGGCAGGCAGGAAACCGACCCCAGGAAGACGAGCGCAAGCCTAACCTAAGCAGATTCAAGGCCCAGGTCTTGTGCATTCCCCATTCAGTGCCCCTCCCACCAGTCCTCAGCAAGGAGGTACATATCTGAAGTCAGGGGCCCAGAAAAATAAACCACAACACCTGTCCTGAAAGAACGCACTGGCCCAGAGCTGAAAGGCATGCAGGAGGCTACAGGGATGTCCACTGGCCCTGAGGCTCATGCCCTGCTGCCCTTTCCTGGAAGCCAGCAGCCCGTGTCACCCAACACTATCCATTGTCACCCAACACCATCCATTATCACCCAACACCATCCACTGTCACCCAACACCATCCATTGTCACCCAACACCATCCACTGTCACCCAACACCATCCATTGTCACCCAACACCATCCACTGTCACCCAACACCATCCATTGTCACCCAACACCATCCACTGTCACCCAACACCTTCCATTGTCACCCAACACCATTCACTGTCACCCAACACCATCCATTGTCACCCAACACCATCCATTGTCACCCAACACCATTCACTGTCATCCAACACCATCCATTGTCACCCAACACCATTCACTGTCACCCAACACCATCCATTGTCACCCAACACCATCCATTGTCACCCAACACCATTCATGGTCAGAAGTGAGGCACACAGCTGACACCAGGCCAATCCTATGCCTACTTCCTTGGAGGCCCTCTGAACTCAGTAGTTGGGTGCAGCACCCCACCCCGTGCCCTGGCTGGGCCAGAAGCGGGCTGGGGGCTGACACTGAGAGATGTGTTTGACACCTGGATGGGAAAAGGCTGCCATGTGACAGAAGGAAGCACCTACCTTTGGTTCCGGCTGGGAAAATGGCTGCGCTCACGGCTATGTGGCCCTTGAGGACACACGTGAAGCATTCCTGCCAAAGAAAACCAAGGGGGCATGTTGCGGAGCGAACACGGGCATGCAATCCTGTGGTTTTCTAATACTTCAGAAAGCCTTGCCTCTGAAGATTTGTCAGCAATACCACACAGAAGGTCAGAGTTAAAAAAATAAATAAATAAAAAATAAAAAAGTCTGGTGGGGAAAAAGGTTGGCCTTGGAACCAATTTTCCAGAAAATCTTGGAATTAAATTCAGCAAAGAACTATGGGAGAGATGGCCCCCCAGGTCTTCCCCTTCTCAAGAGCATTTGGACACCCTCAATGTCATCTGAGCCTCGGGAAGACTGGAAAAGTAACCAGTGCTGAGGACATGAGCTAACACTACCAAGCTACTTCTCTGTGCCAGGCATGATGCTAACTAAATACAACATTTCATCCCGCATCTCATGCCTGGGCACTACAGTCATCCGCACTCTATAGAGTCCAGAGGCAGCAGGCTGGGCCATGCAGTTCCGAAGAGGTAGCATCTGGCCTAAACCAGGCAATTCTGCCTCTGGGCTCCCTGCCACCTGCTATACCCGGGGTTATCCCTAGTGCCTGGACAAGAAGAGGGCTGTTTGGAAGGTCAAGGGCTTGCCACTACTGTGCCAAGTCAGGACTCAGCCCCAAACTCCTCAATCTGGTCTGGGGCTCTTCCCGCAGCACAAAGAGAACCACACCCAAGGGTATCTGGACCCAAGATCAAACTCTTGTCAGGTGCTGGTGCCCACAGAGAGACAAGGCAAGGGACCAAAACTATGAAACTTGCCCCAGTGCATCGCAGAAAACCCTCCTTCCTGGGATAAACTTCCTGAGGGGCTCCCCTGTGAGATTCACTCAGAGACTCAGCCAACATGCACTGAGCAGTGACTGAGACCCTGGAACTTGCTCAGCTCATGGAACTTGCCCGGCCAACCTTGGAGGCGGGTGCTTTTATCCCCGTGTCTATGGATGGTCTAAGTGCTTCATTCCAGGTCACGGAGCCAACAGGCAGCAGACAGGACCTGAAGTTCAGTCTCCAGATTCCTGGTATACCTCTCTATCTCACAGCTGCTTCCTCTCCTGACAGACAGACCAGAACCTGAGCAGTGTGTGCCACTGCAGGGCCTGGAGAGATGAGTCCAAACACAGAAACACTGAACTTGAAAAAAATCTAGATACTGTACTGTTTATAAAAAGCATGGACTTCAGTAACCCACTCTCATCCCCAAAAAGACTTCCTGATACGAGGCCAAAGCCATTTAAACTTGAATCTGAGCTGCTTTGACCTTAGCAGACAGAATGCTTTTAAAAGGTCACTAATGCTTAATTAACTGGATGTCATAAAGCAGATAAGCCTGACTCCACATTAATGGGCTATTTTACTATCCCACACATAATTTTTACATATTTATACAATCCCTTTTCATAAAAACAATGCTCTTCTTAAGAAAGCAGAGAGGGCCTGCCGGGTTTTCTGCTCCACCTTACCTTCTCATAGGCCGTAGGGGTCCCAAAATGCATTGTCCGGGTCACGTCTGTGGTTCCATCTCTTTCCAAAAGAAAAACGCAAGTTATTTTTCAGTCAAAATAAGCATTTGCTCACATATGAGACGGGCAAGGGTGTGGAGAAATTAGAACCCTCAATGTATCACTGGTGAACGTATAAAATAGTGCAGCCAGTTTGAAAAACAGTTTCCAGTTCCTTCAAAGGTTAAACCTTGAATTACCATATGACCTGGCAATCCCACACCTCAGTAAATACCCAAGAGAAATGAAAACATATATCTGCACAAAGACCTATACTCAAGTGTTCATAGCAGCATTATTTACAATGTCCAAAAGGTAGAAACCACCTAAATGTTCATCAACTGGCAAATGAATAAACAAAATATGTGGTGTTCATACAATGGGATGTTATTTAGCAACTAAAAAGAATAAAGTATTGACCTGTGCTACAACATGGATGAACTTTGAAAACATTATGCTAATGATAGAAGCCAGACAGAAGTCCATACAATTCCATTTATATGAAATGTCCAGAATAGGCAAACACACAGCAACATTTTTCCCTGGGGAGGGCAAAATGCGAGGAGTCTGGGATGGGAATGGGAATGGGAATGGGAATGGGGTTTCTTTTGGGGGTGATGAAAATGTTCTAAAATTGACTGGGGTGATGGTTGCATAACTCGGTGAGTACACTAAAAACCATGGATTGTACACTTTAAGTGAGTAAATTGTGTGGTGTGTAAATTATGTCTCAATAAGGTTGTTATCCAAAATAAAATGAGACAGAATGCAAGGATGGCCCAGTGCAGTGGGAGTGAACTCAGGCCCCGACTCACACGCTATTGATCTGAAATGTGAGGACTATTTCATGAGAGACAGCACTGTGGGGATTATGAAGAAAAGGCAGAGAAACAAAATAAACAGGAGCCTGTTTCTAGCAAATGACAGCCAAACTGCAATTCCTCTTCTCAGGACAGAAAGTTTGCTGAAGTAAAAATCCCCAATGTGTCTCTTTGAACACCCTAATCCACAGCCCTGACACAGAAAGGATAACTTCCTGAGTCCTGCTAAACTGTAAAAGCAAACCAGAGTTTACATCCCATGCCTTAAGTGCTAGGCTGCCATTACTGACACCCAAGGCTGGGCTGTGGTCTCCATGTACTTGGTTGAGCTCATTTAATGAGGTTCTCCATCAGCCCCGGTCCCGGTGGCAGTGGGGCATGGACCATGAAAAGGCCTTGCTCCTACTCTTACTGCAGACAACACCTACTCCAGCTCCTTCTCATGGGTTCCACATCAAGACCCAATTCAATTTTAGGTTCTCCTCTGAGAAACTACTCTAGGGGATGATGATGAAAGTAGCAAGACATGAAGAAGGAAATTCAGAAATTCAGGAGCACCCTTCATTTCTCACTCATTCATTCAAAGTCATGCCCTCATTTCACAAGGCCCTGAACCGTTGCAAGGCCAGGGAGACAACAGGAAGTTCATGGGTGGGGGCAGAAGACTTTGCAGTGGTTCTGAAAGCTCACTTTCAGTTATTTATTTAGTATTTAACAACTTCCGGCCAAGGGCTTACTGTTTCTGTCAAACAGTCTTTTGTGGACGAGAATCACAACTGGGCTATGTCAACGAGGGGTGAAAAGCAGGACAAGACATGGGAAAGGCTTAATTAACAGCTGGTGCAAAGATAACCAGCTGAGCTCTCGGCTGGAGACTGACTCGCCCCCCTACTCAAATGCCTTGACTCAACAGAGTGGAGTTCTACACATTGGGCCACCTTTGCATTCACACTTGTTAGTTAGGGAACAGCACCAGTTCACTTACTTGTATTGAGCACCCGAGTCAATGAGGTACACCTCATCAAGGGACAAAGTCCTGTTCGTCTCAGGAACCGGCCTAAGGAAGTAAATAAAAAATGAATTATTCCACAAGTGTATTCACCTGCTAAGTTCAGGAGGAGGGCACATTTCATACTATTCTTACAACTTATGTAAGCCTGAAATGATATTTTAAAATTAAGTTGCCCAATAACTTAATGATTCCAACTAATATTAAACTTCCACTATTTAAAGACCCAGTCTACCTATCTCCCCAACTGGAGAAAGAGCTATGAAAAGGAAGAATAACATACTTCTTTATGCCTATCTCCCTTTGTGTCTGGAACAAAATAGGTATTCGTGAGATAATTTATATTTTGTGAATATCGAAAATAATTATTGATATTCACAACAGGGCCAAACTAGAGTCTTGAAAACTAGGCAGAGAGCAGCCTAGAATCGCTTATCTCTGGGTGTGTGTCCCTACCTCAGACTCCACGTCCCTACTCCCCCAGTGCTCACCCCATCAACTGCCTCCCCAATTGCATCTCAGACCATCAGACAGGCAGGTGAATGGCTCCATTGGGGAGAAAAACTACATGGGATTTTTGCTGAGAAAAGGGATGGATCATGATGCTCTTATGCGGGAGCACTTTTTTCAAAGGAGCATGAGGTATTTTTAAGAAGTGATCTCATTTCCTCGTGCCTTTTTCCACACAATGTCACTGCCCTGAGAGATGCTAAAAAGGGATGGGAGCAGTCCAGGGCTCCGCCCCGCAGCTGAGAGAGGTGCCCCTGTATTTCCAAGCACCACCACCTCCTTGGCAATAAAGGAGGAGAAGCAAATCCCCACCCTTGCTCTGAAATGTTTTAATGTGTTAATTATCTGGAAATGCTAGGATAGTGTCCAGCCAGGAAATTTATCACCTAAGTGAAACATAAGACAGGAGCTGGCGTCCTTTTGACATCTGAATGCGGGAACAGAGGCACTCACGCGAGAGAGCTGTGCACTCACATCTGTGACTAGCTTCCACACACAGCTTCTGGATTTGCCCCAAGCCCAGAAACTCGAAAAGGAATGATCAAAAAGGGGGTGGGGGCCTGTGCCCGAGTGCAGCACGGTGAACCTAGCAGACCTTCTTGTCTGGCAGGGGTGCTCGGCTCTTGGTCCATGGGCTCTTGCGGGTCTCCTGGTAAAATCCCCAAATGCTGGGGTGCCAGGCTTCAAGCCCACAGAGAGGGAAAAGGAAGTGCTGATTATTTCCCCATCTATAACTGGGTGGTCCACAACAAAGTGATAAGGTTTTTTGGTATGGAGTTTTTTAGGACTAGTGCATCAGGGAAAGCTGCCATTATAGGGAAAACACACACACACACACACACACACACACACACTAAAAAATTCTAATCATCAAGACTCAAGGGCTCTGAACACAACTCCCACAGTCTCAGAGAGGAGCAAGGGACAACCGTTTGACTATCTACCCCATGGAGAACTTCAATCATACATCCGAGCCTAAGAGGAGGTTCCCGGAGGCAGAGACTGGGGATTTAGAGAAAATAAGACCTTAAGGTCTTACTGCCCATAGAGGAACAGTGTCAGCAGACACACAGCAGTGGGCACGGGGCCTCCCCCGCTCAGTCCCGGTGCAGAAGCAGCTGCAAAGCTGGGCAGTGGCTCGTCGGCGGCCTTACGCGTAGTGAATGATGGCACCGTTGGGTCCCGTACTGGAAATCGTTGGGAAGCTCAGGTCCACAAAGTCAGCCTGTTGCCTGGACAGAAAGACACACGGAGCAGAGGGACAGTTTGTTACTGTGCAGAGAATCAGGCCCTCCCGGCCTCATTTAACTCGCCAGGGAGATGAGCACAAGGTTCCTCGGACCCTCAACACACCCTTACCTGCGAAATTCCTCCGCTTTGTCGGCAGCTGAGATCTCCGTCACGCCACCTTTGGGCACCTAAGGAGGAAATTATCATACATGTGTCTCCTCCACATTAAAGGGGGCAGGTATACTGAAAGTTTACTTTTTCCTCAGCTCCCATTCCCAACTGTCCAATGTATAGGACGCAGATGAGGTCTCATCTTTAACAAGGAAGGAATTTCCAAAGGCTCTCACCAAAGCTATCCAAGGTGAAGGGTTTCTATTTAGTTTTTCCACTCACTATTTTATATCTCAGGATTACATCTGGCACCTCCCAAAACTTATACATCTAAGTTTAACAAATTCTAAAACATCCCCTCCTAAGAATGTCATCCAAAATAAATAATAAAGATAAGTCTGAGGATATTATTACAGGGTTAACGATAATAGCAAAAGCATTCAAAACAATCTAGACATCTGAAAATAGGCAGAATGGGTAATTAAATCAGTCTAGCCAATAAATGCAGTCTCCATTTAAATCATTGCTTAAAAGCCTCAAAGCACATGGAAAATGCTCACATTAGTATGCCAAGTAAATAAAATAAACAAAACAAAATCTTATTTGCATACTGAGAATTGTGTGAAAATGGTTTACAATGAAAAAATGATTTACATACATGAACACAGCCAGTGGAGAGAAAAATAGTCACACTGGTGGCCAATATAAGTTACTTTTCATATTTAAAGGGATCTGATATCATGCAATAATAGCACAAAGAAACTATCCTCCTGTCAACCACAGGGAGTGAAAGGGCAGGAATTAACATAAAAAGTTTAATGGCTTAAGTTGATGTTCAAACTGTACACAAAGAGCCTGGCCGGCCTGGCTCGGTGATTGAGCATCAACCTATGAGCCAGGAGGTCACGGTTCGATTCCTAGTCAGGGCACATGCCCAGCTCGCAGGCTCGATCCCCAGTATGGGGTGTGCAGGAGGCAGTTGATTAATAATTCTCTCTTATTATCGTTGATGTTTCTATCTCTCTCTCCCTTTTTCCTTCTTCTATGAAATCAGTAAAAAAATAAATAAATAAAACAAAGAATTTTAAATACACACAAAGCAAATTTCCAGAAAGAAAAATAAAAGTATTAAAAGAGAGGACTAAAATCAGATCCAGATCTTAGACACCGTGAACACCAGAGCACAGAAGGTGCCTTGGTCAGAATCACACATCTTAATTCCTGGACATTCTGTATCCATTTATTAAACAAAGACTAAAGAACCAACCTCTTTCTCCAGCCAGTTAAAGAGTTCACAGAGGGCAACAGCATCTTTAATCTGTGCAAACAATAGAAATGTTTTTTCAAGTATTACTGAAAATCAAATAGCGGCTTCAGAACCTAGTCCTAACATGATACAGAGAGGGCTGTATCTGCAGGGCACAAACCATCAACAATCAGGGCTCAACATGCATTTCCTGCGATAAGTCTGCAGCAGTCCCCTATCAGGGACAGGCTGCTCGGCTGTCCAGAATTCAGGTACAGTGAGGAAGGACCCCCCTCAGAGCACACGCAGCTCCCTCAGCAGGTTCACTCCTATCCTATAGGGACCATAAAAGACAGGCCACTGCCAAAAGCTATCTCTGGGCCCCAAATCTTTCTAGACCCTCCGTTGGTTTTAAAAACACAATCTGGGCCCTTTAAGAGGCTTCGCCTTCTTCGTTTTCATCTTTGTAATCATGATATCACCATCATCTAAACTAGGGGTGTCGAACTCAATCAGAGAAGGGGCCAAAATCTAAAATCCAGCCTAAATCGCGGGCCGAATGGTTTACCGAACAGTCATAAACTGTCATTGTGATGGAAACGCAGCGGAGTGCAGTGATGACAGCGCGGTGCGGGCCACATTGCAAGGCCTGGCGGGACGGATTTGGCCCGCGGGCCTTGTGTTTGACACATGTGATCTAAACTGTCATCATCCATATCTCTTTTTGTGTTGTATGTTCTAGTTTGTCAAGATCTAGCCCACCAAGTGCTTTATCTCATTCTTTCATTAACTCTAGAAGGCTCAGAGAGGTTCCAACCTTGTGCCAAGCTCAAGACCACAGAGCAGGTGAGGAGCTGGGCCTTCGGACCACCACACATCCCCTCTTCTGCACAGGCTGCCTTACTCACATGAGCTCGCCTCATGCCATCTGATTCGGCAGAATTCTTCACAGCTTTGGCAATGCAGATGGGGGTGTAAGGCATACAGCAGCGATGTTCCTAGGGGCAAAGGGCAGTAGAATGGAAGATCGAGGTTGGCTCGCCTCACCCAGACCAAGGCAACCACCTCTTCACCTGGCACACCACACTTCACACAAACACTGGAAGAACTTCCACTCAGGACCCACCCAAGCTGGCCGAGCCCTGGGATCCAAAGACCTGCTTCTATTGGTTGATGACTGAGCATAATGAAAGGGGCTTGAACTCATCAAAAAAGATGAAGTAGCCCATCAGTTGTGGCTCAGTGGTTGAGCACTGACCTATGAACCAGGAGGTCACGGTTCGATTCCTAGTCTGGCACATGCCTGGGTTGTGGGCTCGATTCCCAAAGTGGGGCAGACGGGAGGCAGCGATCAATGATTCTCTCTCATCATTGATGTTTCTTCTTTCTCTCCCTCTTCCTTCTTGTCTGAAATCACTAAAAATATATATTTTTTTAAAATGAAGTATATCAAGCAAGGTATTTCTTTTCTATCACCTACCCCCTGAGCTCTTTGAGACTGCTGACTGCCAGATCAGCAAGATATTGCTTTTCAAGCTTCCATGATTGTGGTGAGAGTTCCTTAAGGGATCAAAGTTAGACTGAAATAACCCCTTTATTGCTGCACAAAGGAAGCTTTTTCCAATGTCTGGGGACACACATGACTGACGAGAGAGGATTCCTGCGCCTTCCCTTCTCGTTCGGGGCTCACACATCAGTACTGTTCCTGGTCTGACCTTGAAGGGCTGGGAAAACCCTTCCCCATTTGAGAACAAGTTTGAATCCAGCCTGTGTTATAGGGAGGGGGAATCAGGACCACCTCATGCTTGCACAGAGCTTCTCAAAGGCCTTTTGCTCCCTTGTTATTTTCTCTCTCACACACAGAGAAGGCAGGCGTGATCCCACTTAAATCAAGGAAGAAAAGCTCTGGGTAACGGAGTGTCTCAGAGTGTGACGGTGGCAAGGGTGTGACAAGCCAGATCTGGAGGCCCAGGCCTGGGCTCTCCCCAGATGGCCCAAGCTCAGTGGAGAAGGGGGACATCACTGGGCTTGTTGATGGCCATCTGGCAGCCAGAGGCCCAGGGAGGACAGAATGGTGGCATTTCAGGTGGTTTGGACTCCAGTCCCGCCCCGGGCCCCAATTAAAATGAAGGGACAAGTATCGCCCAGCAGCTCAGTCAAGGGCAGGGCTACCACTATTATTTGACCTTTGACAAGTCACCAACTCCCAAAGCTTTTCTGGACCTAGGTCTCCTTACTTATAAGATGTTGGGGGGGGGGGGGGGGGCCTGAGGGAAACTTCAGGTTTTCTCATACCCCCCGCTCTTGCATTTACTTACAGCTTTTCTTTAAACTATCTTGAAATCGACTTAGTTTCTTAAACTCAACTTTGTCTGAAGAACTAATTTTGATATCACGCTATCATATGCTGGTTATATTTTTCCTAGTATACACTAAACACTTTGAAAGCAGATAACTTTAAATAAATCAAAGTATTGCCGAAGCTGGTTTGGCTCAGTGGTAGAGCGTCAGTCTGTGGACTGAAAGGTCCCAGGTCCGATTCCAGTCAAGGGCATGTACATTGGTTGCGGGCGCATCCCCGGTGAGGGGTGTGCAAGAAGCAGCTGGTCGATGTTTCTCTCTCATCGACGTTTCTAGCTCTCTATCTCTCTCCCTTCCTCTCTGTAAAAAAAATCAATAAAATATAAAAAATAAAATAAATCAATAAATCAAAGTATTGTGTACCAATGAAGACCGTCTTTCGTATCATACTCTGGAAAGTACAGGATCCGGTGGGCTCTAAAGGCCCTGAGACTCTCAGGATGGCTCCAGCTCGAAGGGCTCATCCAGGGAGACAACACCTCCGACCAAACAGCCAGTCCTGGGGGTCTGCCTGACTGACCTCTGCTTCCAAGATAAGGCCACGCGATGCCAGACTGGGAAGGGGCAGGCCTGGGGAGTGTGGCAGTTTATCTGGGCTTCAGTGGGGTTACCAACCTTGGGGATGGCCTCGCTCACAGCGTAGCTGGCCTTGTCGCTGACCCACACCTTGTCCTTCGGGGAGAGGCTGGTGCACAGAGCCTTGAGCTCATTCAAGATGGACTTGTAGGGAAGCACCTGGATTTTGTACTCAGCTTCCAGGCTCAAGTCAAGCAGCAGGTGCTCCTTCACGCCGGGGGCATCTATGCGGTCACCATCGATGAAGAGCCTGCAGAGGGGCCACAGGTGAGGCGAAAGAAAGAGGAGAGCTCATGGATGGGAGCACAGACCCATAGGCAACAGGCTCGGCCCTCTGGCAATCAACACCAGGCAGCTTCTCCTTCCTCCCCATTCTTTTCCCAAGTCCTTCTCTGCAGGCTGTGTACACTGTCCCAGTGTGTACTGTCAGCATTCACCCAATTCCCCAAGTTATGACCTGGGAACAATCTTCCTTGATGCCGCTCCTTCCCTTCTTAAGCTCTTTAGATTAATAGCCTAAATGCCTATCAAATCTGTCCAGCTTTCGCTACAGCCTGTCCCAGTCACTGCCTTCATTCAGGCCACTGGCATCTCTCAGCATCCTACCTGATTTCCCTGCCTCCAGCCTTCCCTACCCATCCTATTTATCGTATCTAGAATTCTTTATAATTGATAAGGCTGATCCCTGTGAAAAACTCATTCAATAGCTCCCCTGGACCCTCAAGATAGCTCCCCTGGACTCTCTGCTCACCTTTTGGTCTTACACTCTATGTTCCGACCACACACTGTGCTCTCTCCTGTCCAGAGGCTGTTACCATGCTTAAATCACCACCATTCACCTGGCCAACTCACATGAACCCTTACTCTCTGTTTTCCTCTCTCCAAGAGTCTCCTGACCCCAAATCTAGCTCAGGCTCCTCCTATAACACCTGTACCCATCCTACTAACCAGCTGGTCCCTATTTACGTGCCCAAATCCCCTGAGGAGACATTCACCTCTCCAACTCTGACCCGGGACCTGGTCTGTCTCATTCACTCCAGCACCCAATAGAAACCATAGCACATACCAGCCACTTACTAAATACGTTGTTTGCATGCAAAAAGCCATCCCAATGGAAGAGTAATGGCAGGAAGGCCACAAGCAATGTTACAAAGTCTATGATCTGAGGAGGTATGACTCAAGGGGTCTTCCAGCATCATTTTGACCTCCAAAGTGATTGGGTTTATTTGCACTGTGAACCCAGGATTGTGAATAGGGCGGCCTAAACAAGACTTTGCAGCAGGAATTTTGGGAACTAAACTCACTTGGTTTTGTTTGGATGTCCTTGCCTACTTATTGTTTTATCCCATAACTAGAGGCCCGATACACGAAATTTGTGCAGCTGCAGTCCTCGCAGCCCCAGCTTCGTCTGGAAGGACATCCAGAAGGTCGTTCGGCTGCCCGGTCTAATTAGCATATTATGCTCCCATAATACTATGGAGATTTTCCTAGATTTCAAATCATCTGGGACAGAGGCAGGATATAAACAAATAAATACCTGCTGTTAAGAAGGCAAGAGGGGAAGAAGGGAAAGGGGGTCAGGAAGGGGAAGAGCAGAATGTGAGGCAGAGACTGGGGGGCCCAATCAGAAAGGGGACACAGGCTCCGGGGTGCTGTGGGGCAGACTCACTTGATGGTCTCTAGTCCTATGATTGCGTAGGAGAAAAATACCGGATTGTGCTCCACATCTGATCCTCGGAGATTGAACAGCCCTAAAACACACACACAAAGAATAAGTGCCTGCGGGGAGATTTGAAGCGGTGCCTCGCAAGGGAGGGGAGAGCTTTGGCTCCAAGTGGAAGGGCTCAGTCAGAGGCATCTCTCAGAAAGGCAGGCACCTCACTTCCTGCTTCCACCTCTGGGCTGCAGTTGCTCGTGTCAGCCAAATGAGGGCGCCAGAGCTGTTTCTTAAGCTGCCTCCTCGCTGGCCCAAGGAGGGAATGGAGGAGTTATTAGTCAGAAAACACAAGAAATGCCCTTCAAACAAAGAGTTGCAATGGCCCGCCTGGTGGTGACCTGCCAGGCCTGACCGCAGAAAACCTCTGGCACTCCCAACTCACGGGGAAGGAGCCAAGCACTGTCTCCCAGCCGAGGCAAACAAGGAGGGTGAAATGCTGAGACCCACCCAGGAGGGGGGCCAGATGAGGCTCTCGGGACAGGGTCATGGAACCCCGCGGAGGCGGAGCTTCCCGGCAGAGGAACAAAAGCATGAGTCAGAGGGGCCCAGATGAAACCGGAGCCTGCGGCCCACCCAGGGGTTAGCCCTACAGCCCTGGTAGAGGCCGGCCTGCAGCCCCGGTAGAGACCGGCCTGCAGCCAGCGTCAGGGGGTTTGGTGAGGTCACTGCTGTCTGAGAAACTACAAGGACAAGCAGAGAGCACAGCTCTGGTCCCTGGGCTTCCAGTTGCCTCATATTCTCTCTCTCCTCCCCTCCTCCTCCTTTCTCTCTCTCCCCTGGGAGCCAAAGTGTTACAAGACCTGGTGCAAAAAGTACTGCCTCTATTTTAAAAGAACGGCTTCTCAAAGTAAAGCAACGAGGCAAGTTCTTATCTATCAGACTAAATTAGTACTTTAAGGGAGGGGGGGAAAAAAAAAAGGTAGTGCCTGGGCTGGCAAAGCTGTGTGGCACACGAGGGGCCTATTCACGTGCCCCTGTACAACCTTTCTGGCAGGTAAATGGCCCCACCACGCAGTATTCTCTAGTCTGTGATACCACCACTAAAAACCTACCCGAAAGAGGAAGGAAATGATTGGAAACTAAGACCCAAATTTTGATGCACCAAGATTTTGATGGCAGCATCATACTAACATGGTGGGGATATTGGAAATAACCAAAGGTCGTTAAGTAAATGGTGGTATAACCATATGCTAAGATAGCTAATAATCACTTGAAATAATGCTTTTACATGCTTACAGTATACTGATACATTAAAAAAATCAAGCTACAAAATTATATATATGCACAGAATGTTCAAAGTGATTATCTCTGGGAAACAGGATTGTTGATTTTTTTCCCTCTTCTTTCTACTTCCTCTGCATTTTCCATACTGGGAATGTGTGGTTTTTGAGTAACAAAGGGGAGAAATTGGCTTTATCTGTTACCTTCTCTGGTGCTGAGGTTATTAAGTTAATTAGGGATGTAAACGCTGATACCATTGACAAAGTTTGGGGCTGGGAACTGGTGAGATGGGACACTATTAGGTCTCTCACTTGTGAGAAAATAAAAAGTGCAGGTGGTGCCTCTTCTCAGCTGTCCTGGGTCAAATCTAGTCAGAACACAGCAGGCAGAACAGATTCCTCCAGTTCAAAGAGATAACAAAGATACTGAATAATTACATGCGGGTCGTTCAAGGTTTAAAACTTGAGAAACTGCTATTCTATCAAAAGGCTTCACGAAGAACTTTTTGGGTTCCTACGTTTTCTGAGGTAGAGATATTTCTAGAATACTCTCACTGTAAAGAACTTAGGGCACCACAGGGTAAGCAGATAAAGTAAAATGTCTCCTAAGACAGCCCTTGTCCCCCTATAGACACATGAATGTTGGCAGGTACACAACGTGGGAAGCAAAGGTCCCAGGGTCCCAGTCCCAGGAAACTGGCCAGAGGTGGACGCCACTGCAGATTCAGCACCAGCCTTGGTGAAACATTGCTCAGGGCCAGGCTGCCCGCCCTCCCCCACTCTCGGCAACTCCTCCATCCCACTTGGCATATGTAGAACCATTTGGTGACAGTCTCCTTGGTATTCCCTGGCCAATCGGGGAGCTGAGTGGCCTGAGAACACAGATTCCCAGAGTCGAAGGAGAGGTGAGGCAACATGCCCACATGGCACTCACACGCTATCTCATCCAGGGCGGTGACCACAAACCACACCACGTTCCTCTCAGCCATTTTCAACCGAAGGTCCGCAACCTTGTCCTTCCAGGAGATGCCTGCAAAAGACACACGGGCTTGCAACTCCAGCCCTGGTCCTGGGGACCTGCGTTCCAAACATTCTTAGCCGAAGCCACATCCTAGGGAGTGGACTGTGTGAGCAGGTGGACACCTGCAATCAAGCCCTACACGAGAGGTGTGACTGTCCCGGCCATTTGAAGGGCGAGAACCATGATGACCTCACCAGCAAAACGAATTCATGTGTTTATCCAGCAAATGTCTATGAAGCATCAAACTTCCCAAGCATAGATATCTCCCGGGCCCGTGATGGTCCTGTTGTCCCAGCTTTGAGCTACACCCCCAGTCCCAGAGCTACACCCGGTCCCTGCCCTCATGGGGCTTACAAGTCTAGAAGGGAAGACAAGCATTAAACTAGCAATTAGTTGCACTATTGTATAAGAATCAGTGCAACAGAGGAAGCCCTGGGAGCACTGAAAACACACTCCCCTGCAGGGAGAACTCATCAAGTCTCCACTCAGGGGTGTACCATCCACTGCTTACATTCCTGGGACAGCAAGGCTCATCTGTCAGTGCTAGCCATGGGGATCTCTGCAGCCTGACTGTGTGACCATCATTCAAATCACACTGTCCTGTAGGATAAAGGCTCCCTGCTGCTCCCCAGGATTAAATCACACCCACCCCACCATCACCCACCATCAAGCAGCACTTGTAACTCTGGTGACGGCCACCTGTGCACAGGATAGGCCTCTGTCCCATTCACCCAGCACCCCGCATGGTACCCTGCACTCAATATTTGTGAACAGAAGTCTTAGCAGCAACATTTGTTCTCCTCTCCCCTGCAAGCAATAGGCCAGAACCTCTGCTTCAGTGTTAAAAAAAAAAAAAAAAAAACTCAAAACACACTGATGGAAAATGTGTACCTGACCTGGGCCACTTAGTGGACCCATTCCCCGCCTTTGCCCTCCCCCCCACCAAATCAGCTATACTCTCAGCGAGGACATCACAAGGAGAGAGAGCGAGGGCTGCCCCCACAGCCAAACGCTGCTTTGAAGCCCAGCACAGGAATGCGATTTAAAACTTGGCTGAGAGTCCGGGCTGTAATGCTTTCTTCCCAGGACCCCTCTGGGCAATCTGCCTGCATTCCAGACATCCCCCACCCACCTCTCGTCTCAGTGTCTGCAGCAAGGCTCTCTCCCCGGCAGCCCCACCTCCCAGGCCTTCCCCTCTGCGGCCCCTCACTGTCCCATAAACCCACACTTTCGTCCCTACAAACTCTCACAGAACCTTCTCCTCACCCACCGCTACGGAACCTACCCACACCCCAAAACCTGGGAAGCAGAAGGCACAGAGGGCAGGGGGCCCACAAAATGCCAGCAGAAGAAAAGGAAGGGGCACCTAGAAACCGGGATAAGACAGCTTCAGGGACAGTGAGCAACTAAGTGGTAAAAACAAAACAAGCCGGAGCTGGTTTGGCTCAGTGGATAGAGCGTCAAGCTGAAGACTGAAAGGTCCCAGGTTCGATTCTGGTGGGGAGCGTGCAGGAGGCACCTGATCGATGTTTCTCTCTCATCAATGTTTCTAACTCTATCCCTCTCCCTTCCTCTCTGTAAAAAATCAATAATATATATATATATATTTATTTTTATTTTATTATTATTATTTTTTTTTAATAAGAAAACACCTTAGCGGCACCCAAAGTCTGCCCCGAGCGCTTTGCAAGAATAAACTCTGACAAAGTAAGTGGTGAGTAGGTGGTGAGTAGAAATAAATAAAGCTTCTGCTTTCATCAAATGCCCCACTGGACCGGGGTGGGGCAAAAACCTCCCATCAGCTCAGCCTTGACTTTGACTCATTCGAGGACCGGATGGAGACCTGGGGACAGAAGGAGGGGGCGGGAGGCCCTGCTGGGCGCAGCTGCAGTTCTGACCTGTGTAATCCAGGCCCAGAGTGAGGAGGGGCTTGCACGGGCGCTCAGGCCGGTCTGTCCAGATCTTGTCCACCAGGTTCTCCTTGACAGGAATGAGGTGGTGGCCGGCGCTTCGCAGGACCTTGGCCATCTTCTTCCAGTAATCTGAGGAGAAGCACACCGGCCCAGCCATGAGCGGGATGCCCAGGACAGGAGAGTCTAGCCCCCTCCGAAAGGTGATCCTTCCGGGGCCCTGCGCTGGGTGTGCGGGACGAGAACTGTAAAAGGACGTCTTCACCACCAATGGCCTTCCCTGGCCTCGATGCCAGAATTCATCTCCTCACCGTGACCTTGATTGCGATATCGAGTCATGCTGAGCCCACAAATGTTCCACAGCCAAGGAGGAAGAAGGTGAAGGAAAGAGGGGGCGGGGAGACACCAAGCACCCACTTCCTCCCCTGAGTGGAAGGCCCCCCGAGCACTCACCTGTAGGAATGATCAGGGGGTCCACACCAACCCTGGATCCTTCCGGAAGCACACTCACCAGCCAGTCTTCCTGAGTCGGTGTGTCCTTAAGACCTACAGAGGGAAAGAACTGATGAGAAGCAAGTCCCAGGGGCCCAGTCAGGTCCCACCCAGAAGGATGCGGTTCTCCAACAGAGCATGAGCGCAGGGTGTCGCTGAGCGCCTCTTATGGCAGGACTGCAGAATCTCACCCTCCCTGACACGGGAAGGCTGTGAGAAGTGTAAGGCGGTCTGTAAGGGAGGCGTCAGGTAACAGTGAGAGAGAAGAAGGGAAGCAGCAGGATTCTCATAAAACCCTGGTAAAAATGGCATCCTGGAAACACTGTCATAGGTACACTGTGTCATTGTGACTATCACCTCACCAGCCCTCAGTCTCTTCATCGAAGGCTGGTCACTGGGTGAGAATGCGGGCGGCCATAGGGCGAAAGCTGGGGGCTGGGAGCTCCCCATACACCCCACACCGGGGAAGGGGAACACTCGCCCCGGGGCCCTCCCGTCATGTGGAAGGCCGCATTGAGGAGAGCAGAGCCAGTCCCACAACTAGGCCTGACTAGAGGGCTAAGCATGAGTCTCAGCAGCAAAAAAAAAAAAATCCTTCCTGAGACCTTAAGGGGACACACAAGACGGCCACCACCGTCTTTAACCAGGCGCCCCGGTTTTCCCAACTCCAGAGAAAGCAGCCTTGCTGTGTCTAAGCGACTACCCACAGGGCACCAAGGAAGCTTCGGGATACTCCAGTTTTTCTTTCATCCAAGCCATTTATGTTTGGGATGTATACATTTTCAGTCAGACTCTGGCTAACCAATGAATAACCTGGTAAAATGCCTGCATATTTAGAGTGAAAGTTCACATATTCTACACCAGTACTTATCTTTACTAGTTTCTCTAGTGGGCACTAATAACCTCATAACCACAGGAGGGAAGTTCAAAGGTTTAAAGGGAAATGAGCTCATGAATAAGTTCTACAAAACTTCCTGAAAGCTGGAACTGAGTTGTTCTTTTGCTATTTGATGCTTTCCTATTTTTTTTCCAAACCGCTGAACAAGCCACTTTTGAACTATGTTTCTTTAATACCCTTAGCATAACGTTCACAGGACGAAGTCATGTCCTCCCCTAGCAGACAGATGCTTGGTTAAGCCAAAGGATGAATCGCTCAGCAACCAAACCCACCAGAATCTCCCCACAGGAGAGCCGTCTGAGGAAAGGGGGGCTTGAGAAGAGAAGTCTCACAGAAGAAACTAGAGGGGGGCTTGGAGGGAACAGGTCTCATCCCTCGGGGCCACCACACCCCACTTCAAGGAGCGGGCAGACAGTATTGCTCCTCGGACACCTGACCCCCAAAGTGCTTCCAGAAGTCCCAGCTGGAGTTCTGGGCCCCAAGGAGAGTTGCCTACACCCTCAGGGTTATGCCAAGCGATCCACTGGGTGCAGGCAGGAAATATGAGAGATTCCATTTGCATTTATTTTTTTCCACAAAATAAAGAAATTAATCTTTGCTCAAATTTGAAATACAGATGAACACTAGCACATAGATATACACACATATTAAGGGCGTGTGAGCCATTAACAGAGGTATGCAAGTAACAGCTTATAGGCCTAGTGGCCTGTCCATTTATAACAGTCCCACAGCCCCAAATGCTGTGTGCATGTGCATGTGTGTGTCAGAGAGAGAGACAGACTGAGAGAGTGAGAGAGAGAATTACAATAAATCCATAAATCCACTGTCAGACAAAAATGTACCTCAGGCCGCCCTAAGATAAACAACACAATATCTATATGGTGAGTGTGGGTCCCCCACAAGTATACCCCTCCTCCACCCTCCTGCCCCCTACCCCCCACCCCACCTCAGTAGGCGAGCTGCTTGGATCTTTGTGTCACCTCAACTCAACTCAGTGCCAACAGCCTCTGTTTCCTGAACTGGGAGTTTGCTTTCCTCTTTACTTCGTACTTCCGACATCAAACAAGAAGTGCCGGGTATTTGCCTCCTCTTCTCTTTCTGGCAGCCCCCTTTCCCTCCTTATCTTCTACTCTCCAAGTTCCAAATTAAAGAGAAAGAGACCTCTGTGCAGGCTCTAAAACCATGTTCCTGGAGACTACTTTAATGACAAGGAAAATTCAATGACCAGAGTTTTTAACACACACACACACACACACACACACACACACACACGTCAACAAACACTGAACTCAATGCTTTCCATATATTATTTCTTTAATTTTCACCGGTACTTTTTTTTTATGCGGTACTTACTATTATTACCCCATTTTACAGATGAGGAAACTGAAGCCCTAAAAGTGGAGTAACTTGACCATGAAAGTTCCAGGCCCATGCTCCTGCCCTCTGCCCTTCTCCAAACTGAGCTGCCAGAGGCGAGTCCAGGATCCTCAGCAGGAGAGCTTCCTGGCCTCTGATGCCAACGGCGCCTGACCTTAATCTGACTTCGAATCACGAGGCAGCAAAGAGCAGTGGTCACGGTGCATCGTCGAGAACATGGCAAGGCATGGGATCTGCAGCAAATCAACTGTCCTCTCTGGCCCTCAGTTTCCGCTCACTAAAATGAGTAACCTGAACCGGAACCTTCCAAAACTGTGCACACAGAGGTATGTACACACAAGGATGCTATTTTCTTGGTTTCCCTTGTGCCATGCACTGGACTATGTCCCCTCAAAATTCCCATGTTGAAGCTCTAACCCCCAATGTGACTGTATGTAGAGGCAGGGGTTTTAGGAGGTTAAATGAAGTCACAAGGGTGGAGCCCTAATCCAACAGGAGTGGTGACCTTTGAGGAGGGAGAAGAGACAGGGATCTAGCCATGTAAGGACACAGGAGAAGTCTGCAAACCAGAAAGAGTGCTCTCACTAGACCCTGACCACGCTGTCCCCCTGATCTCCGACTTCCAGCCTCAAACTGAGAATAAAGTTCTGTTGCCGAAGCCACCTAGTCCATGGCATTCTGTATGGCAGCCCAAATAGTCCAACAAACCCTGGATTCTAAAAAGGGTCCATGACCCCATAAAAGAGTTAAGATCCAGGAGACCTGGCCAACGAAGGTTAGGATGGCCACACTTCTACGCACCCATCCTCATGAGCGTCCAGTTGCTGTCCATCTGCTTGGCAGCCTGGAGAAAGTAGCGCCCGTCCGTCCACATGGCTGCATGGTCTTCTGTGATGATGGCTGTGCCTGGGGAAAGGGAGCAAGGACACGAGAAAGGTTTCTGACAACTGCCCTGGAGCTGCACAGAATGAGGACAGACAGGCACGCATAGCGTGAGCACCGGCTCCTGTGCAGCCTGGCCACCCCTACCTCCCAGTGGGCGGGTGGTCTTTCACTCCAGGGCAGCTCCAGGCAAGAGAAGGCAAAGCCCTTAGAACCAACTGTGGGCCAGGCTCTGAAGGAAACAGCCCTGAGGCAGCCCAGGCCACCTGGACCCTGGTACCTGCTCGGCATGAGTCAAGGCCAGAACAGAGGACTGGGATCTAAAGCCAAAATGGCCTCATAATCACGAGACCGAGAAACATTTCCTGCTCGGTGATCACAGTGATCCACTCCCCCAGACATCCTGAAGGAGTGGGAGATCCCCCCAGGCCCCCGGGAGTGTTCGTGATGGCTCCGTGGGAGTGTGCGCCTCCCACCTGCACCTGCCTTCAGTTCCCACAGACCTGGCAGAGCTCAGGGCTTTCGGCAGAGGTGTCAGCCAATCCTAAGTGCCAACCTACACAAACACTTACATCAAAGGAAGCAATACGCCAACTCTGAGGAGAGAGGGGCTCTCGCCAACTCTAGCTAGCTTAAGTCTGACATGGGAACACCCTAAAACTCAAGGGCACAGCAGCTTTGGGAAAGTGAGGGCAGGGTGCTAATGAGGCTCAGCATTAACCTTTGCCATTTATGCCGGAAGTAAAAAGAAAGAAATCAAAAGCCAATCATCTGGAGAACTAAGCAGGACCAGTAAGCGAAGGCGGGGGAGGGTGGGGAGAAAGGTGCTGGGAGGTGTCAGGGTCCCACGAATTATTTGCAGTGCCGGTTGCCCAGGTATATTCAATTTAATTGATATGATTTCCCATATTTCTGTTATATTAAAAAAAAAAGTTCCAAAACATTTTTTTAAATAAAAAACTAAAACTCTAAAAGCCAAGGCACGGAGGAAGGGTCACTCCAGGGGACCGCGGGGAGCTGGAGGATGCTGGCAACTCGCACGTTTCTGCAGGGGCTCGAAGGGGAACGTCTGGTTTGCATTTTCTTTTTGGTGCTTTATCGCAGGCTGCGACTCGTTCCAGTTATTTTTGGGAGGTGAACAAAAGTATAGAAAGAACAGAGAGAGAGTTTAGCGACTCACCCGCAGAGCCATCAAATCCAGAGACGAAGGCCCGCCGACAGTCACACGGAGCAATGTACTCACTCTGAAAAACAAAAGGGACCAGGAATTGGACCGCAGCCCGTCACACGCTGGCGCCGCTGGGCTCAGCCCTGTGCGAGGCCCACAGAGACTACACAGGCTGGCGAGGCCTTGGCACCTGGCTTCAAGGGACAGACAGGCTAGCTTAGAAGGCAGGCCGAACATTTAAAAAAAAAAAAAAAAAAAAAAAAAACAATGAGTGCACAATGCAGACCCTAATTAATGAAGGGCTCAACAAGCTTTTCCCATTTGTCTCTCGCTCCTCATCTGGAGAACAAAGAGAATCTAGAGAAACAGATCAAAACTGCTCTTTCCTCACCAAGATCTTACTCAAAAAATAAACCGAGAGCCTTCCCCCTTCCCGCCACTGACATTTAGGCATCTGGTATTTTTCTGAAAAGTAAAGCTGGATTTCTGTCTCCAGTGCCAACAATTCTCTAACTTAAGCCTCTCCGGGTATGAGCTTGTTTCTGCACTTCCTGTGTGCATCCCTTTTCCCAGGTGTGTCACCAATCGCTCCCACGCAGACAGGCCCTGTCCCTTCCTGTTAGGGAGAGAGGGGAAACGCTTCCTCCAACTGGGAGGCATCAGCAAATAAAACATCATGTCCAAACCCAGGTCCTCCCCGGAGGACAATCCCTTGCCTCTGAAGGGAAGCGGGTAGGGACTGAAGAAAGTCAGAGGCTCTCAGTCCTGGGCAGAGGGTATGAGGCCACGGTGTTCAGCTTCTGCTGTAGTCAATGGGCACAGGGAGTTAAGGCAATTGCCTGACACATCTAGTAAGTGGCAGAGGCTGGATTTGAACCTGGGCTGTCAGCTCCAGAGCCTGGACTCTGAAGCCTTCTGCTGCCCCTGTAGAGCACATCATCTCATCTTCATAAGGACTCTCCAGGATAAGACCAACAGCAAACAAGAAAATGGAAGCTCAGGGACAGAATCTTTAAGGAACTTGCCCACTGCCAGGTCAACAGCAAGGCCTGGATCCGCTTCAGACCAGAGCTGCGGCTCCTCCTCCTGTTAGCAGTTTCTCCTGAACTAAAGAACCTGGCAAAGTGAAGAATGCTTCGGGTGGAAAACAGGGCCCCCGAGGCATTTTAGGGGGTGCCCATGATATTAGGGGGGAAAGTGCTCACGTTCCACTCCTGCTGTGAGAGCTTCCCTTTCACTAAGGCAGCCACAGCACATCCACAGGCCAGCCACAAGCCCACCCCCCAGGGAGATGCTAGAAGAGCCAGCAGAGAGAATCCTGATGTCAGGACAACAGACTCTGAGCCACACCTGCCCTCTACCGGCCCAGCTAAGTGGTCTGCATCGAGTCTCATCACCTCCCTCAGCATCAGTTCCTCCTTCCAAGAAGGTCATTTCACACTGCTGAATGCAACAGCAGGCACATTTTATCCCGAAAACACAAAGGGACATTTCATAGAGAGCAATAAAGACACAGGAAGAAATGGTGATCAACAGTATGAACTGGAGAACCCTCATTTGTTTAAACCAGCAATCATTGGTGCAAGACTTAAAAAAAAAAAAAAAAAAAAGGCAAAAATGGGTGGAGAGAGTCACACCCTCCTCCTAGGACTGCTGTGAGGAACAGTAAGTTAATGTTTAAAACATCTCTCCAGAAACCTAAGAGTGCTGCGCATTCGCAGTGGAAGAGGTAGTGCTCATGTCTGCTTCCTGAATGGTGAAAAGCATCTAAGATAACTAAGTTAACAAAAGTGGGATAACTAAGTTAACAAAAATAATTCCTATACTAAAAATCACAGTGCATACTGGGAAAGACACAGTGGGGACACTACCGATGACAATGAGCTTCTGCTGGATTGGGGCTTTCCCACCAGTGACACACAGTCAGGACACTGGCTTGGGGCTCTCCCACCAGTGACACACAGTGAGGATGCTGACGAAGGTCTGGCAGAGAAGGGACTGCTGATCTGGGCCCAGCTGGACTCCTCCATGCAGGGACACATTTCTAGAGGATGACCTTCCCCTATCTGGGTTACCCTCAGAGGAGGGACAGGGCACCCATGGGGGTTTACCTAGAGGTACTCATCAGCAAAGGCAAGAGGAAGGTGTCTCCAAAGGAAGGTAATATAAAGGGTGTTCCCTAAAAAATGTATACACACAACTTTGAATAATTATAAAAGCAGTGTTTACTAAAATACACTTGATTTTCAAAATTGAGCTATCAGCTGTTAAAGTGTGTATACATTTTGGGGGGACACCCTGTATTAATAGCAGGTGGACATATTTGGTTTGGGATCAAAATGAGGTCTGGGGCAAGAATGTCTAGACATGACCTAAATGGTCCACCCGCCAGAAAGACGTCGCCTACCGAAGTTGTCACCTCCAGGCTCAACAGAGGCCAGACAAGCACTAGGCCCAGGCCTCCTACTCTTCCCCCAGCCATGTGCTGGCAAAGCCCAGGAACACTCTCCCCTGAGAGCAGCAAAAGGTCGTAGCATGCAAGGAGCAAGGCACAGCAGCACAGCTGTTGGCTTCTCCTCCAAGCCATCCACTTCTCTGCATCTCCAATGTCAGTACTCAGTCCAGGCTTCCATCACCTCTACCTGGACCACTGCCTACAGCAAGCATGTCAAATTCATGGCCACACGCATCATTTCTGCGGCCCACCGGCTGCGAGTTTGACATGCTTGGCCTACAGTCACTCTTCACACACTCGGAGTGAGCTTTTCCAGCTGCTGACCCACCAATCCAGATTAGATTGTGCATGGAGACAAGGGCTATCTGTCCCCAAATACTAAGGCAACTTCCTGTCTTTGGCGTCATCTAGTTTCTTAAATGAAACCAAGTAAAGGTATGTAAGAAAAACAGCTTCATGCCCTTTCCTTAGTGTACACCTGGCTGAAAGGGGGCTTCCCATCCTGGACTTCACCTCCCAGGCCCCCTTGCATTTAGGTGGGGGTGTCACATGATTAGTTCTCACCAATGAAATGTGAGTGGAAGTGATGTCTGGGTAAGGGCTGGAAACTTGGGTGTTTTACCACACTAAAATACACTCCATTTTCATACCCCTTTCTCCAGGTAGGATGTTGATGTCACAGGATGGAAAGAACTTAGATTCCTAAATCATTCTTCCCAGTGGAAGAAAGTCACTCACCAACAGGGAACACCCACTCAGGGCTGCTACGTGGGCAAGAAATAAAGCTCCACTGAAACTTCAATGTATCGCCACAGCTAGCATTACTCTAATTAATAGTAGATAAAATCACTCTGGGATAAAAACCACCACCTCCCACCCCAGGGCAGAGTCTGTTTAAGAAATACAAAACAAAACAGGAAGCCGACTCCAGGAGGAATGGGAATAGGATCCAAGGAGTTTAGGAAAATCTGATTCATGTCTTCCAGAAGGAGGAACCATAAACACAGCCAAAAACTCAGTTGGCAGAGTCACCCCGGACAGAACGTGACCCTTTGACTAAGCCCATCTCAAGAGGATGGGGAGGGTGAAGAATGTGGGTTTCTCAAAGCATGCTGGCACAACGCCAGCCCCTACCAATGCTCCTCCTGGTTTGGGGCCAGTGGTGCCCACCAATCTCAACATCTGACTTAGATGGTCCATGAAAGCCTTCAGATAAGCAGAGAGAATGAACCACCCTTCACTGTAAAAGTCCCGCTGGGCCCAAGCTCATTAATACCACACCCTGTTCAGAGTTTACATAGAAAAAACCCTTAGAGCTGCAGAGAAGCAGACCCCTGGAGTGCCAAGTCCTTGCGTAACTGTGCATTTGGGGTGCGTTTTCTCTCTAACAGAACAGTGTGTGGGTGTCTGTGTTTGTGTTTTGGAAGATAAAAAAAAGACAGAATTCGAGATTCCCCTTCATTCTCCAACTCTCTCCCTTCCCCACCCAAAGGAGAAATCCCAGCAACCCTGAACCTAGCCTGAAATGAAACAATTAGGAATAAGAGCCACAAAGAGCAGCGGCCTCACTATTTCTGAGGTGGCTGTGGTGGCAGGTTGCACACAAAGTCACCCCTTCCTCCTTGTCCTCCCAGTCCTGGCAGGGACCCAGAATCCCACTTAACAGTCGCCCAACCACACCCCGCCTCTCCACAGAAACTGAAACAAGGAACTGGCGGCTTCTCATTTCTTTCTGTGGGTGGCACAAGGAACACTTGGGTTCCAAACTTCCCAATGCCCTCTGCCGTTTGCCTGAAGGTCCAATCTCTGTCCTACTTCTCCTCCTCTGAACCCTTCCTTTCCCCTCTTCTCTGCTCCTAAAGCCAGCACCATGTCCAAGCGCTCTGCACCCCACCTCTGGGATCCATGCAAGAGCCTCCTAACAGGCTTCTCAGCTCCCAGTGTTTCCCTTCTCCAGTCCACACTAAACACTGCTCCCTCTCACAGATCATTCACTCCTTTGTTCAAAGACTTTCAGTGGGTCCCTACTGTCTAACAAAACCTAAACTCCTCACTCTGGTGGTCAAGAATCCCTGTGGCCAGTCATGAGTGGCTCATGAGTGGCCTTGACTGAGCCCCTATTTTTCCTTCTTTTTCAAGGTTATCATTACTCATATTCTCCTATGTCCGTGGATTTGCTCATGGTACTTCTTATACCTCTATCTCCAAGCATTAAAATTCTACCTGTTCACATTCCAGTTAAATGTCCTTTCTCCATGAAGCCTTCCTTGATCCTGTCAGCTTAGTATTCCCTCCCAGCTATGAATTCAGTCCACACTTTGTCTTTCTACTAAAACATAAGCCCATTGAGGGCAGGAATTCAATCTTAAATTCATCTTTGTAATCCTATAGTACCATGACCACAAAAAGAAATGCAAATATTTGCTGACTCAAAGACTGAAAGCAGTAGATCCTAGAATCCTTTCTTCCTTCTGCCTTTCAGCCCCATAACATGAGATCTCCACCCATCCAAATCCTACTCTCCCATATTTATTATTTTTATTCACCCAAGGTCATTTATTTTACTTTATTTTAAGAAAGAGAGAGAGAGAGACAGAGAGAGAGAGAGAGAGAGAGAGAGAGAGAGAAAGAGAAACATCAATGTGAGAGAAATATTGATCAGTCACCTCCCATACATACCCCAACAGTGGATTAAACCCACAACCTAGGTATGTGCCCTGACTGGGAATCAAACCTGCAACCTTTTAGTGTACGAGACAACATTTTCAACCAGGGCCCTCCTATATTTAAATAACTAGTGTTCTCAGAGGTAAAGGGAACTTCCTGAGTTGCTTTCATTAAGATGGAGGTTGGGGGAAGGAGGGAGTGATACTCAGAATCATCCCTTAAACCTACTGGGTGAAGATCAATAATGACTTTACAGATGCTCTTCTGGCTGTCAGAGGATGGAACAGATTGGGTGGAGAGAGGAGGAAGAACAGACAATTCTGCTAGGGACAGAGTGCGACAGAGGAGGTGGGTAAAGTGTGTCAGCAACAGAAAGGTCCAGACTTCTACCCCTCATTTGTCTACTAATTCTTCCATCGTTTATTAAAAGCTGCCTATATTCACTGGGAACAAGGAAGCCAGAACCAAATCAACAGGCATTCAGGAATACACTGAACACAGGTCCCTATGCCAGGACCTGGAGGACATGCTTAGTTGTGATTGACAACTAGAATCCGATAACACGTTGGGGAAAAGGATGAAATGAGAGGAGAGACTGATGAGTTCCATCACCACCAACCCATCTCCACTCAGTACCTGGTGGGCATCCCCCGATGGGATAATGTAGGCCTGGATGGGTTCTGTCACATACTCCAAGTTCCTCATGGCTTGTCTCAGCTGCCGAAGCAGCTCAGAAGTTACTTTGGGAGGCATTCTGCCGTCTGCAACAACAGAAGAGTTTGTTTCAAAACCAGCCAACCCCATGCAACTCGATGACTACTCCAATGGAGCCCCAGAGAAGCACCCCCTTTGTTCTGCCCCATTCCTAGAGGCAGCTTCAAAATGACCACCCGGCCATTTGACCAAAACCAAAGCTGCCCCAAAACTCTCCGATTTACAGTTCTTAAATACCTAAAACTGTAAACTGGTACAGCCACTTGTGGGGGGAAAAAACAAAAACAAAAACAAAAAAACTTGAGCTTCTAAGACTGATTTCCAAATTGATTAGTTACTTCTTTCAAGTCTAGGATTTTATGCTAAGGAGATCATTAAACAAGTACACAGAGGTGTAGGTGCTTATCTTTGTTTACAGTAGTAAAAATATGGAGGGGAAAATACACGACTGATTAAATAAATTACCTCCCATCCAACAGTACACAATCAAACAATTAGAAATTACATAATTCCCGCCATTATGAACAAAGCTGCCATAAACATCCACATGCAGGTTTTTGTGTGAACATAGCTTTCAACTCCTCTGGGAAAGCAGCAAGGAGCATGATCGCTGTAAAGAGTATATTTAGCCCTAGCCAGTTTGGCTCATTGGACAGAGTGTTGGCCTGCAGACGGAAAGGTCCCAGGTTCGATATCAGTCAAAGGCATGTACCGCAGTTGCAGGTTCTTCCCCGGCCCAGGCCCTGATCAGGGCACATGCAGGAGGCAACCAATCGATGTGTTTCTCTCACATTGATGTTTTTCTTTGTTTTTCCCTCTCTCTTCCATTCTCTAAAAGTCGATGGGAAAACATCCGTGGGTGGGGATTTTTTTTTTTTTAATATAATATACTTAGTTTTATAAGAAACTATCAAATTGTCTTCCAACCTGGCTGTACCATTTTATATTCCCACCATTAATAAGCAAAAACTCCTGTTGCTCCACATCCTTGCCAGGACTTGGTGTTGCTGGTGTTTTTTATTTTTTAACAGAAAAATGTTTCACTTAACAAGAAATGTGCTGGCGCACAATGCTCCAAGTAACGGAGTTACACGGAGGCAACTACACCAGAGCTCATCCTCCAGGCCTGTCGCCCTAACTCACTGGGCTCGTACCCGGTTAGGTATGGGCCCTTTTTTTGGTTCTTTAACTTTTCATCTGCTTCTTTCTCCTTCACCACCAGCACCTTGGGCTTCCATGTTATCAGTCGAGATGATTTTCTGCAACAGAATCCCCTACGCGATACTAGACTGATCTTGGGACTCCCTGAACTAGTGCCCCATTCATAACCTGCAGCCAGGGCAGCTTCAGCCACAGGCCTCGGGCTCCACCTCCGGAGTCTCTGAAGGACAGTTGTACTCAAGGAATCAGCCGCTGAAAAAGGTCCTAGTCACAATTGAAACATGTCCATGCTCCGTGCATCACAGCTGCTTCTGAGTACTTCTCAGACGGGCATCCTTTCCTTGCATCTGATGTCCTGAGCCTGTAATCTCTCACCTATCTGAGAAAAAGGGAGCAGAAGTCCCAGGGCTGACCTAAGTTTATAGGTCAACACCTCCACTGAGTTCAAAATGAAGCCCACTGCGACCTTACCAGCTTGCCAGCATCTGAAAACGTTATTATGACACCTTCCAGGAGCTTCAAAATAGACTTAACACATTTCGAAACCATACTCCTGAGTAACTTAATTTTTAAGAGTCAAGAAAAAATGTAGACTTCCTTTGGACCAGTATTTCAACCTTGACTGCATATTAGAACTACCTGGGGGACTTCTGACTTAATTAGTCTGGAGCACAGCCTGGGCATCTGGAATTTTAAAACGCAAATATAGGATAAAGGCCAATATATTTTCTTTCTCAAGACCATTAATTTCTTTATTGAACCTGGCTTCTATTTGGGCACATTCTGACTTAAGAACTTTGATGGCACTGACTGGGTGTTTATAGCATTGACTGTGGTATGTGTCAACATTATCGGCCACTAACTTCATCAACAAAGTCAACAGAACCCGCGGCAAGCACAAAATCCTAAATTACAAACTGTAAACCATCCAAGGCAAAAAGGAGCCAGCCAAAGACATCCTCTGCTTCCTGGGACCACAATCTCTCTCCTCACCACCACTTTCTGACCTTTAGGCTGCAGCAGCAACAGCAACTTGCAGTGCTGAGGCAGTGTGTGCTGCGGCCGTGGAAGCAGCTACCACTCACGTAAATGCAATGAGCAAGGTGTCCACAGGGACAACAAGTCTTAAAAATAACTGAGTGGATGAGAATAGCTGAGGAGGCAGCAGAGCTAGTACAGGTATAAGACCCAGCCATTGAGGTGGCAGCAGTTAAAAGGCACTCAAGATGGAGAAGATGAGGCCCTGCTGGTGTGGCTCATGATTGAGTGTCAACCTATGAACCAAGAGGCCTCAGTTTGACTCCCAGTTGGAGCACATGTCCAGGTTTTGGGCTTGATCCCCAGTAGAGGACATACAGGGAGGCAGCCAATTAATGATGCTCTCTCATTATTGATGTTTCTATCATTCCCTCTCCCTTCCTCTCTCTGAAGCCAATAAAAATATTCATTTTTTAAAGATGGAGAAGATGAAAGGCATGGCTGGTGATCCTCAGAGGGTAATTTTTATAAGGATTAAATGGGTTACTCCCTATAAAGCATTTAGAAACAGTGCCTGGCACATAGTAAATGTTATGTGCTTGCAATTTTTAGAGGGAGTGCACAATTAACTAACTCTGACAGCAATGTGATAAATGGTGCCACAGATGTATCTACTGCTTCTCCCTAAGGCAGGACCACATCACTTCATCTCTGATTCCATTGCCTCTAAATCCATTAACACACCCATACGCTCACTCAAAGATGGCTGGGTGGGTATTACAACTGTGTATCTGTGACTTCTCAGACTCAATGTAATAAACAGGAATGAACCTTCCGTGAAAGCTAGGATCTTAGCCGATGCAATATTGGGAGCATCTGTTCATTCCACATCCCATGACTTTCAGAAATGTCAGAAGCAGCCAAGAGCTAATCAGGGTGTGCAGGAAAGTGGAAAGCCAAGAGCAACAAATCCTAGTCCATGATGTAACATTAGCCCATACACTGCCAGGTATTTTTAAATCATGCTTTTAAAATGAGTGACTCATTTAAAAGTCTCTTGCGTATGTGGACCTGCTTTTAGAAATAAGTTTCTAAACCTTCAGCCTTTATCACAAACTAGACTTTTGATTCCCTGGAAGTACATGAAAAGCACATCATATTAACCTTCCAGGGCAGCTAGAAGTATTAAACATGACGTGTGAAAATCACATACACAGCATATGGTACATTGTAGGAGCTTAAGAAATAGGATTTGAATCTGGATCTGAAGTACAAGCTGGGATTTCTACAAGCCTTGTTATAAGGATAGAAGGGGATGCTCGCTCTCCCTCACTCCAGGGAAAACGCCCTAGCCTTTCCCTCCGTCCTCTCCCTCCCCTATAGACCCGCATCTCCTGAACTCGAAGGGTCCCCACGAGACTTGCAACCAGGGGAGCAATGGGCAGCAGCAGCTCGTCCTGGGCTAACCCCCTGAACCTGACTCCAAGGTCCCTTTTCTCTGACTCTCCAGTGAGCCAGGGCAGCTGGCCTAGGCTCTCTCCTGTTGCTTCCTCTACCCTAAGCCCTTGCTTGTTTCACTGTCTCTAACTTTAATAAACATACTCTAAAAATAAAAAATTAAATTAAATTAAAAAGCCATAGAAGGGGGTGCTTTTCTCCAATTTCAGCATCTTACCACATACACAGATGTGAAGCTGGGCTTCCAGCATCTGAGCAAGGGCCAAGGGATTTCCAGGCATTAGTGGTTAATTCACATAACAATCCTCCAAGGGAGGTTTCACTATTCCCATTTTTCAGACAAAGAAACAGGAGTTAAATACTTGCCCAAGTCAACTGGATCATTAGGAACCAAAACTCAGATCTATCTAATTCCCAAATCCGGGTTCTATTATAAGGGATCGTAACAGAGGCTCTCTTAAAGCATTCCAATGGAATCAAAACAAGCCCGTTCCGGTTTCCAGCTGGGATCTGCAACCTAAGACTACTGAACCTCTATTTCTTCATGTACAATAAGAAGAGAAGTTCTCTTCAACCTCTAAATTGGATAGTTCTATCACTTTTCCCCTTTCTTTACTTCCCCTTTTCCCCTCTCCCCCCTCCCAAGATGGCCCAAAATGTGTTGCATAATCTATATTTTTAAAGAAAAGGGATTAGTATAATACAATTATAGCACTAATCTTCCAAAGAGATTAGTCATGGTTTCTTGTGCTTCGGGATTGATTTTTTTCACTCAGCTGAAAGGAAACATTGTGGTTCTCCTGGGTAGTCCATAGAAAAGCACTGGCTTGTGGGGCTAAAAATACAGAAATGCATCACTTTTCAGAATTCAGGTTTCTGGCAACCCAACAAGGCAACTGACCAATTCTGGGGAGAAGATACAGTTCCAGAAATTTTTCCCAAAAAGATTTTCCTGAATGCACATTCAATTTATAAAGCACAATAATACATATATTACAAACTTTTCTCATTTCATTATGATGAACATTGAAAACTAATCTCTAAGGCAGCCAATAGAGGATTACACTAGAGATTAGAAAAATTAGACTAGTAACTTAACACAACTACCCCTGAAATGGCAAATGCGATAACTTTCATTCTCTAACTTACTACCCTAAAAAAAAAGTAGCGAATATTTAGAAACAGTAACCAACTACCCAGAAAGCCAAGAAACAAAGTGGTTTTTAAGTTCCAGATATACATCCTCCCAACCCCAGCCATGATCAATTGTTAACCCCTTACCTTCTCTTTTTTCCCACCTTGAGATTGAGGCAAGGGTAACTAAAAATCCTTTCGAGATGTTCCATCTAATAATTGGCAAAATTATTACCTGTGTCCATACCTGGGCCTCCTGAATATATCACCTCGTAAGGTTCAATTATTCTTAAATTTTTCAGCTGAAAGTCCCGGTGGCTTGCCCTTAAGAAGAGAAAGAACAGGATATTGCAGACTTTGACCGCAGTAAACGTGGCAAGGCTTAGTCAGAGAGGCCATCAACTTGACTGAGCAATTTTCCTTCATGAGTCCAAAGAACTCTTAACCCAGGATCAGTGATGAAATAAATGGAAACCGCAGATAAAACATCAGCATGACAGTAAACCTTTTCAGGCCTAACCTATAGTTTATGAGTTTTCATCAGCTGTGTCTTACCTCCTGTTTAACTATGATAAAAAGACTTATTTGCAATGATTGTCACATGTACAAATTCTTTGTTCTTTTTCAGATTTCCCTGTTCTTTCTTCACAGTGCCCTATTCTTTTCTTTTCTTTTCTTTTCTTCTTTCTTTCTTTCTTTTTTTCTTTCTTTCTTTCTTTCTTTCTTTCTTTCTTTCTTTCTTTCTCCTCACTCAAGGATATGCTTACTGATGAGAGAAAGGAAGAGAGAGAAATATGGAGAGAAACATCCATCGGTTGCCTCCCATATGTACCCCAACCGGGGATTGAACCTGCAACCTGGGTGTGTGCCCTGACTGGAAATAAAACATGCAATCTTTTGGTGTAAGGGATAATGCTCCAACCAACTGAGCCATTCAGGCCGGCCCAGGGTGTCCTATTCTTTCGCTATGGTTTCTATTCCCTCTCTTAGCTTTAATTATTTGGGGCCCTTGTTTTATAATTCATTTCAGACTTTCCACTATGGTCTGGGGACAGTAATTCTTTGTTGGGCCTACTGACTCCCTCCTGGTAGGTCATTCCTTGTGAGCTTTGTAATCTTTTAGTAAGAGCTTATCTACAGTAGAAAATGAGATGTGTGCTTCATTGTATAATACAAGCATTTCTGTCACTGTCATTTGCTTCGGAGACTAATTTTCATGTTAACTTCTTAGCTAGGAAACTCACACACAAGTCTCCTATGGGGAATGAAGACCTATAGCAACCGATGACCTCCCCAAGGCTCAGTTAGAGCTAAGGTCCCCAAAAATTCAGACTTTAAGTTCCACTAGTATAAATTTCTGGTACCTGGGGATTTTTCTTTCAAGTCCATTCAATCAACAAATCATTTTCTTGAGAATCATCTATAATCCAGGCCCTATCCTAGACACAACAGTGAACAAAGCATACAGTATCTCTGACCTCAAGAGGTTTACATGGGGGAAGGAAGGTTCCTGGGAGAGAAGGGTAGGACAGGAAAGGCAACAGACACAAAATAAGAATTCAGTGTGTCAGGTAGTGAGTGTGTGTTCTATGAAACAAGTCAAGTGGGGCCAGGAGAAGAGAAGGTCAGGGACATAAGGGGAAAGTTCTCTGATATGGGTTTGCCAGGCAAGGCCTCTTTGCTAGCAGATGACAATTTATCAGAGACCTAAAAAAAAAAGTGAGGGATCAGTCCTGTGGATGGTCTAGGGGAGGAACATTTCAGAACTGGAGAACAGCAAGTACGAAGGCACTAAGGCAGGCATATGCCTGGTATACCAGAGGGAAAGCAAGACAGCCAGTGTGCTGGGAGATGGGAAAATAAGTGGTTAGGAGACAAGATCCGGAGGCAACAGGAGCCTATTACAGGCTACAGAAGGGATTTTAGATATTATTCAGCTATAAACTTAAAAGGGAATTTTGCTCTAATTTTACCAAAATTTTATGTGTTACTAGAGGGAAAGGTGTTCACATTTGCTCAGTCCACCATACAGCCCATGCAAAAATTCATACATCAGGCCTCTAGTAACATATAAAAAGGATCCAAGTGGAATTTAGTCCATGAACACAAGATTGGTTCAACACAAAATAAATAATGTAATATACAATATCAATAGAAAAAGAACAGCCCTAGCTGGTTTGGTTCAGTGGATAGAACATTGGCCTGCAGATTGAAGGGTCCTGGGTTCAATTCTGGTCAAGGGCACATGCCTGAGTTGCGGGATCAATCTTCAATAGGGGGCATGCGGGAGGAAGCCAATCAATGATTCTCTCTCATTGATGTTTCCATCTTTCTTTCCCTCTCTCTTCCTCTCTAAAATCAATAAAAATATAATTTTTTAGGGGGCAATGGTAAAATATGTACACAGATAATAATTTAATAAAAAAATAAAATTAAATATATATATATATATATAAAATGTTTTTTAAAAGAACAAAAATTTCATGATAACCTTAGTAGAGACAGAAAAAGCATTTGACAAAATCCAACTCCCCTCATGATAAAAGTATGGAATAAACTAGAAGAGAAATTCCTCAACTTGATTAAGAATATTACAAAACCCACAGCTAACATCACCCTATTGTTAAAAGGCTGAATGCTTTCCCCATTAGATCAGAAACTAAACAGACATGTCCACTCTTGCCATTCCTAGTCAATCAGGCAAGAAATTGAGTTAAAAGGCACTCATGTTAGAAAAGAAGTAGTAAAATTACTTATTTGCAAATGGCATTATCTTAAATATAAAAAAAATCCTAAAGAATCTACACACAAAAATTAGAATGCAAGATACAAAAGCAATATGTAAAAGTCAATTATATTTACATACACTTGAAATAAACAATTCAAAAATGAAATTTTAATAAATACCTAGAATAAACTTAAACAAAAGATATGCAAAACCTACACTGCAAAAACTACAGAACATTGTTGAAAGAAAACAAAGAAGACCTAAATAAGTAGAAAGCTATTCTATGTTCATGGATTGGAAGACTTAACATTGTTAAAATGGTAATACTCCACAAAGTAAACTATAGTACGTAAATGCAATACCCATCAATTCCAGCTAGCTTTTGGGAAGAAAGTGACAAGTAGATCCTAAAATGAATGAAAGCAATAGCCAAAAAAAAAAAAAACCTTGAAAAATAATAAATTTGGAGGAGTCAATCTTCATGACTTCAAAGATGATAAAACTATAGTAGTCAAGATAGTGCACACACTATAGTAGCAAAGATAGTGTGTGCCAAAATAGTGTGGCTCAGTGGATAGAGCATTGGCCTGCAGACTGAAGGTTCGATTCCAGTCAAGGGCATGTACCTTGGTTGCAGGCACACCCCCAGTAGAGGGTGTGCGGGAGGCAGCTGATTGATGTTTCTCTCTCATCGATGTTTCCTAACTCTATCCTTCTCCCTTCTTCTCTGTAAGTAAATCAATAAAAAATATATTTTAAAAAAGTTAGTGTGGTACTGACATAAAGATAGACTTCTAGATTAATGAAGTAGAATTGAGAGTTCAGAAATAAACCCTCACATTTACTGTCAAGGGTGCCAAAACCATTCAATAGAGAAAAATAGTCCTTTCAACAAATGATGCTGGGACAATTGGAGATCCACATGCAAAAAAACAAAGCTCACACTATATATACCATACACAAAAATGAACTCAAAATAGATTATACACATGAATGTTTTCTTAGAAGAAAACAGTCATAAATTTGTCTGACCTTGGATTAGGCAATGATTTCTCAAATATGACATCAAAAATATAAGCAACAAAAGAAAAGATATACTGGACACCGTTAAATGAATGACTTTTATCCTTCAAAGGACACAAGTGAAAAGACAATCCATAAAATGAGAAGAAAATATTTGCAAGTCATATATCTGGTAAGAGTCCAGTATACAATGTATATAAAGAACTATTACAACTCAAGAAAAAAAAATACCCAATTTTTAAATAGTCGAAGGCTCTAAATTAGGGGTGTCGAACTCAATCAGAGAAGGGGCCAAAATCTAAAATCCAGCCTAAATCGCGGGCCGAATGGTTTACTGAACAGTCATAAACTGTCATTGTGATGGAAACGCAGCGGAGTGCAGTGATGACAGCGCAGTGCGGGCCACATTGCAAGGCCTGGCGGGACGGATTTGGCCCGCGGGCCTTGTGTTTGACACATGTGCTCTAAATAGACATTTCAATGTCTACGATATACAAATGGTCAAAAAGCATATGAAAAGATTTTCAATGTCATTATCCATTTGGGAAATGAAATCAAAACCACAATGAAATGCCACTTCACATCCACTAGGAAGATTATAATTTAAAAAACAAACAGACAATAACAAGTAAGGGAAAGGATGTGAAAAAATTAGAGCCTTCAAACATTGCTGTAGGGAATTTAGGTTTGGAAACAGCCCAAAGTTCCTCAAATAGAGTTGTCCTATAAACTAGCAATTCCACTCTTAGGTACAGAAATTGAAAACATAAATCCACATAATAACTTGTACACAAATGTCCATAACAATATTGTTCATAATATTCAAAAATTAGATCAAAGAACTTGCTCAAGGCCTCACAGCAATTTGGTGATGGAGATTGTCTAGATAGAACTAGAGGCCAGGACTCTCAAATGGACTCAGTGCTGTTCCCCTTCTCAAGACTTCTTCAGTCTACACCTTCTCGACACCATGAAGTGCCACTGGTGGTTAAGGGAAAAGAAGGGCGCAGAGAACTTTGCATAGAACAGTTATAGCACATTTTTTCCCCTCTCTCTTTTTAAAGAAATCCCAGCAAGGTTCTTGTTACCCTCCACCCTCCCCAGCTCATGATGAAAATCTATCACTCAGGATGGTGCCAAAAAACTAGGACCACCAAGATCCTCAATCATATCCCATGAGGTAAGGCAACGGTAGAATGGCACAAGTTCAAGGGTGGAGATGTGAGTAATGTTGTCTTTGCCTACCTAGAATCCATCTCTTCTCCTTTTGATGAGAGCACCTTAGTTTTCTTTTTGAGAATGTCTCTTCTCCAGTTTCAGTCCACAGAGTTGAGAAGAGTCACCCACTAAGTTCTTGGACCCAGATCTGTTCAATCCATCCTTCCAGCCACAATGACTGGTTCAGGATAGTCAAAAGCAGTGGTCGGCAAACAGCTGCTCGCAAGCCACATGTGGCTTTTTGGCCCCTTGAGTGTGGCTCTTCCACAAAATATCATGTGCGGGCACGCATGTACAGTGCGATTGAAACTTCATGGCCCATGCGCAGAAGTCAGTTTTCGGCTCTCAAAAGCAATTTCAAAGGTTGTACTGTTGATATTTGGCTCTGTTGACTAATGAGTTTGCTGACCACTGGTCTAAACGATCAAATCAGTCCAGGGAGACAGATTTCTGCTCCAACCAGTAAGTTCTAGAAAGACTCCATTTCTGCAAAGGCTGTCAGCCTAGAACGGCTACTGGCCTGCCATGAGGAAAACCTGCCTATCAGTGAAGCCAGCGCTGAAGAAATGAGAGCCAGGAGATGAGGAAGAGGGAAGACTGATGCCAGTGTTGGTCTACTGACTCAGCTGCCCCAGAAGCCAGCTCAACCCGTTTCTACCTACATCAATTCGAGTTCAATTTCCATCACCTAAAGCGCCTCATTTTTACTCTGATTGGCATTCAAATTCTGCCACGAGGGGAGGTGCCTGGGGCAAATGATCTCCCTTCTCTCGGCCTCTGGTGGCCTCTTGTGTAAGGTAAATAAGTTTTATCAGCTAATGTTGAAGGACTCTTCTGCCCCTCCAATATTGTGATGCTGTGAACCCAGCAAAGACCACCTTGGTCCTCCACCTAGGCCTAACTCATCGTGATGAGCTTGCCTGACCCCACTTTCAGCATGGAACCTCCAGGCCGCTGCTTCCACCTGCAAGTCTGCCGCATCTCATGCTACAGCAAGGCCACGTCCACGTCAAGGTCGGCTTTTGATCTGTCCAACTCACAAACACAAGCACACGCCATGGCCTGTGTTCGTCAAGTGAGCCTGGCTAGAGTGCCAAGCGTGTTCATTCAAATGTCAACGGGTTGCACATGTGTCAAACACACGGCCCGCGGGCCAAATCCGTCCCGCCAGGCCTTGCAATGTGTCCGGCACCGCGCTGTCATCACTGCACTCTGCTGCGTTTCCATCACAATGACAGTTTATGACTGTTCAGTAAACCATTTGGCCCGCGATTTAGGCTGGATTTTAGATTTTGGCCCCTTCTTTGATTGAGTTCGACACCCCTAGGTTGGAGGATGGCTGACTGACCCCATGTGGATCTCCAGGGAGTCTGGCTTCTGGCCTTGGTGAACACTGCATGTCTCTCTCACTCTCAGGCTCCTGATCTGTTAGCTGCTCTGATAAGTAAGTATACTCTGGCAGCAGCAAGGGGGGGCGGGGGGAGGGAGGGCGGAGTGGGGAGGGGCTGAAATGTATTTAATGTGAGACTTGGGGGTTTATCCGGGGAGAAGGCAGGACATGTTACTGATGGCCGTCCCCAGGAGATGATGTCAAAGTACGGCCTCACACAGCCCTCTGCAACCATTGGGGCGGGGAGGAACCATTGGGGCGGGGAGGAGCCGGCGTTTGCCTATCTTTGCCTATCTTTGTGACAGATCAGTAAGGCGAATCGCACGTGTCGGTATTGTCAGGGTTGTACGTAGCGGATTAGATTCCCAGGGCCCAGGGGCGAAGGCAGGGACTCGCCAGAGGAGCCAGGGGGCGTCAACTTCCAGAAACAGCGTGGCCTTGCGGCGGGCAGGAGTGGCCACAATCACCGCCCCCTCTGGCCGAACGCGGCCGGCTCCGCGGACACACTCCTCAGGGGCCCGGGCCCGGCTCCGGCAGCCTGGGGGTGCCCGCGGCCCCGCCTGAAACAACCCGGAACTTGCCCGCTGCAGGGCGCCCTCCCCCAGCTCCGGCTCTGGGGGGCGGGGGTTGAGGGGTGTCTCCAGCCAGCCCCGGCCAGCCCCGGCCTTCCCCGGCCTGCAGCGGGCCGCCCGCCGCTCTACCCCGCCGCGTCCCGGCCCTCGGGACGGCCACACGCGCCCCGGGCCCGGGGAGCCGCGCGCGCCCAGCGCCCTCCGGCTCCCGGGCGGCCTCCTCACCTTACTCGCGGTGCCTTCCTGGAGGCTGCCATTCGCGGTGACGTGCCCAGCCCACGTCAGGGGTGCACAGACCAGCTGATCACCCGCGGGAGGGATGGAGGGAGGGGGGGGAAGGAGGGAGACAGGGAGGCCGGCCGGTGCGCGAGTTGCTAGGCGCGCGCGCCCGCCGGCCACGCCCCCGGCTGTGGCGTGCTAGGGCGCCGAGGCCCCGCCCACCCGCAGGGCCAGGTCCCGCCCACCCGCAGGGTCAGGCCCCGCCCACCACCCAGGTCTGGGCGGGGCGGTTCCACCCTGCGTCCAGCCTGCAGGCACCTGCAGTCTGGCCTGCACACAGCAGCCAGGTCAGTCCTTTGCAGCGTGAGATCATGTCCCTCTACTGCTTAGCGCTTGCCGATGGGTTCTCATTCTTTTGCAGGCAAGAGCGGGGGTGGGGGGGGGGTGGGGCTTAGGGATTCAATGAGACTAATTTTTAAAAGAATTATAAGTATGTCCCCTTTTTTCCCCCCATTGTCTCCATCCAGCCCGGTCCCGCCCTGGCCTCCCGCCTCTCCACCCCACAGGCCGTTACCACCCTATTGTCCGAGTCCATGGTCTTTGATTACCTCCCACCCACAACCCTTCCCCCGCCTTCCCTCAGAGTTTCTGCACTCTGTTCCATGCTTCCATGTCTCTGATCCACTCCATTCATCAGTTTGTATCGTAGTGTTGAGAGTTAGAGGGTGTGTCACTTCTGTTCATTTTTCTCACCAGTCCCCAAAGAGGAAAGAAGGGCTTTGTTCTCTGAAAGGACTGCAGCGCAAAGAGGTGCCTTCCAAGGAGGGCAAAGAGGAAGGACACGCAGCCAGTTCCGTAGGGTCTCACATCCTGAGGTCTTAGAGTTGTCCCCAAAATCACTTCTCTAGATGACTTCAAAATCCAGCCATCCACTCCACTTGGCTAGCTAATATGCTTCTGGCCCTACCCACCAAAAAACGTGCGCCACCAAACGTTTTTGCCATCAGTCAGTGGCTACTCTGTTCTTTCAGACGCTCAGGCCAAAATCTTAGAGCCATCCCTTCCTCCTCTTTCTTTTTTTTTTTTTTCTTTCAAGTTTTTATTTTTTTGTTTAAATTTCTTTATTGATTAAGGTATCACATATTTGTCCTCATCTCCCCATTTCCATTCCACACCCCTCCCCACGCATAACCCGCGCCCCCCACCCCCACCCCGCATAGTCTTTGACCACTGGTTGGCTATATGTATACACACAAGTCCCTTTAGTTGATCTCTCCCCTTTATCCCCATCCTCCCCAAGCCTCTGTCTGACCTTCCTCCTCTTTCACACTCTACATCAAGTCAGTCAGAAAATCCTGTTGGCCCAGTCTACAAAACAGATCCATAATCACCACTCCCAGCTATACTGCTTCCTCCAACCTGTGGGCCTTTGTCACTACTGCCTCACCCAGGTGATGGATGACCCTGGTCTCCCTGCTGCCACCAGGCACCTGCAGTCCGGCCTACACACAGAGGCCAGGTCAGTCCTGTGCAGTCTAAGATCATGTCCTTCTGCTGCTCAGCACTTGCCAATGGCTCCTCATTTCACTCGGGCTAAAAGCTGTACTTGATCTGCACCTAACTCAGCACCTTGTTCACTCAGCTCCAGCTAAACCAGCCTACTTGCTTGTCCTTGAAAAAGCTGAGTACCCTCATGCAACAGGGCCTTTGGACTTGCTCTTCCCCCAAATACCCAGGCTCCCTTGCCTTCCCCTCTGTTCTGATAGTGTTACAGGAAAACGGGAGAAGAACCAAGCAGTGCTTAGAGAGATGGAGTTACAATTATGATGATGATGATGATGATGATGATGATGATGATGCATGGGCCCAGAGAAAAATATCTTTCAAATTCTGGGCCCAAACATGGAGGAAGTTTTCCTATTTATATCTTTTTACCTTCTTTGTCTCCCAAATATGGGGTTTTCCAGCCCCCTTTGGAAGTTCTTAAAGAGCCCTATGTGCTGGGGCTTTAAGACCTCAACCAAAGGCTTGGCCTGGTGCCAGCACTGATAACTTTGTCTGGGGAAGGTTTATGGCTTCTCTGGAATGGGAGTAGTCTTATTTTCCTTATTATTTAAGCAAACAAGCATTTACAGAAGTCAAAATAGCAGGGTTAAATTTTAAACAGCAGTTTTTATATAAGATGGATGCTTTAATAGCACCTTTTCAATGAATGAGACCTCCCTTGACCCCCCTATTTAAAATTATAAAACACACACACACACACACACACACACACTCCTAATTCCCCTTACAATGCTCTAATTTTTTCATAGCACTTCCTGTCTTTTTATGTGATAAAAAAAAAATTATATGTATTGTATTCTGTCCACCATTACATACCCCCCCCAGCACCCCCCCTCCCACACACACACACCATAGCCATCAGGGCAGGGATTGTTTCTATTTTGTTTAATGGTGAACTATACCTGATATGTAGGAAGTTCTCATATATTTTGTGTATGAATGAATGTCCCCAGAACGTGAAGTCCTCAAGGGGAGGCATAGTAGCTCTCTTGTTCATTGTTATGACCCTGGTGCTTAGAATGGCACCTGGCACAGAGTCAGCACTTAAGAAATATTTGCTAAATGAAAGTGACCACATTTTTTTTTTCTTTGACCTTGGTGGAGGCATGTAGTCAAATAGGTTCTCCTGCCTTCCAGAGCCCAACGTTCTAATTGTTATTCAACAAGCATTTCGACAAGCTAAATCCGGCCCTGTAGACCAAGTATGAAAAAATAAAAGTAAATGATGTGGTGCCTTGGAAAGCAGCAGATGTCTGCTCCATTTCCCCAAATTTATGGTGCCAAAAAGAGAGAGCTTGTAAATAAAGTGACTGCTTCCAGCCCACAGCTGAGAGATGGTGGGAAAGATCAGGCTGTCCTAGGGAAAAGGAGAAGTCAAAGAGATAGATCACTGGGACCTAAAGAGAACAGGTATTTCGTAATCACGTTACCTAGACGTGTCTGCTCAGAATTTATGGCGTCTGGCTTCGGGGGAGAAAAAGAGAAATAATTGTGTTCCCTGAAACAGATTTGTAGTCCTGTTTGCAGGACAACAAGGCACCCTCCCCCCTCTTGAACTTCTTTCAGCAGAACGTTAAGGAGAAAGGGAGTCGAATTTTCACTAAAGGTTGAGAACTCTAGGCTATTCTCATGGCTCTGCAGGCCTCAAGTGTTTGAAGAGGTGGAACAGTCACACTAACATTTACTGAGCGCCTGGCCCACAATGACCCAATGAGTGCAGGACTATGGACCACATTTTACTGGTTGAGGAGGCAGGTTTTTATTTTTATTTATTTATTTTTTTAATATTTTATTGATTTTTTACAGAGAGGAAGGGAGAGAGATAGAGAGCCAGAAACATCGATGAGAGAGAAACATTGACCAGCCGCCTCCTGCACATCCCCCACCGGGGATGTGCCCACAGCCAACTACATGCCCTTGACCGGAATCGAACCCGGGACCTTTCAGTCCGCAGACCGACGCTCTACCACTGAGCCAAACCGGTTTCGGCAAGGCAGGTTTTTAGAGATTGTCAAGCTAGTGTGTGATGTGGCTGTGGTGTGCATTCAGGCAGCAGATGTATTCCTAGCCCCTGAACACTTAATAATTACATAGAAGTAACACTGAAAGTCACATCATCCAGCCTAGCCCATACAGTGGAAGGAGGGAGGCAACCAGATTCATCATGCAAACTCAGACTGGGCATGTTTTAAATGGAGCCAGAGATACTAAGTGTGTGGAAACATAGGTTGAATTGTGCCCTCCCAGAGTCCATATGTTGAAGCTCAAACCCCCCCCCCCCCCCAGCACCTCAAAATATAATCTTGTTTGAATATAGGGTCGTTGCAGATATAATGAGTTAGGATGGCAATTTTCAACCTTCTTCATCTCATGGCACATATTAACTAATTACTAAAATTCTATAGCAAACCAAAATTTTTATCATATTTTTTTGCTGGCCTGACAAAAAAAAAATAGTTATAATTTTGATTTGTTCACACCAGACAGATATTGTTGTGTTGGCTGTTGTCATTTTTTTTTTATTTAACAGTCTCAGGAAAGAAACGTCAGTGCCCCTGACTAAATACTGTTTCCTAGTGAGGCATTACATGTTGTTGTTTTTTGTTGTTGTTGTTTGTTTAATATATTTTTATTCAATTTTTTTACATAGAGGAAGTGAGAGGGACAGAGAGTTAGAAACATCAATAAAGGAGAAATATCAATCAGCTGCCTCCTGCACATCCCCCACTGGGGATGTGCCCACAACCATGGCATATGCCCTTGACTGAAATCGAACCTGGGACCCTTCAGTCCACAGGCCAATACTCTATCCACTGAGCCAAACCAGTTAGGGCAGGCATTGCACGTTTTAAAAATTCTTGCTGCACGCAGGTTGAAAATCACTGAGTTAAGATGAGGTCATACTAAAGTATGACCCTCATGCAGTATGACTGGTATCCTTATTAGGAGGGGAAATGTGGACACAAAGAGAATGCCAAGCGAAAATGAAAGCGAAATTCAGGGTAATGCATCTACGAGCCAAGGAATGCCAACAAACCTCTAGAAGCTAGGAGAGAGGCATGGAACAGTTTTCTTTATGGCCCTCAGGAAGAACCAACCCTGTGAATGCCTTGATCTTGGACTTCCAGCCTCCAAACTGTTAGACAATAGATTTCCATTTAAGCCACCAAAATGGTGGTACTTTGTTCTGAAAGCCCTAGGAAACAATACAAAATGATTTCCGAATGTCCAAGTGTATGAATTGTGAAACTGTCATTTTGGCCACACAATATTCATCCACTATCCTTCTAGTTATCATCCACCTATTTCCCTCTGAGGATCCATCCTTTCCTCCTTCCCTTCCTCCTTTATTCTCAGTCTGTGTTCTCTTCCTGAAACACTTGGATTCTAGGAGCGTGACCCAGTGATAAGCCATAGGGATAGGCTCAGAGGTCGCAATCAGACCAGGGCAATGACGTTTCCTGGTGAGTGCCTTGTTCTCCTCTGCCAGGTGAGAACCTGGATGCGAATGCTCTGAAACTCTTGCCTCCACATGCAACATGTGAATAGCACCAAAGCAGCAGGAGATAGAGAAGAGAGGAACAAAAGAACAAATGTCACAGTATTATTTTAG